GTCTACGATGTATAAAAATTTTTATGAATTTACAACAGTTTATGAAAAGCTTAAGGAAACATTAAAAAAACCCACGACAAAATTTAAAAATTTCACGGCAACATTTGAACATAAAAATCTCACGGCTGAATTTCAGAAACCAAAGCGCAACATTTAAGAAATTCAAGACAAAATCTATCAAACTATGAGTTAGCTACACCGACCTCTATAATAACTTGTACAACAATAAACCAAAATGACATAGTCTTATGGCCGACCAAGATGAAAGGAAGAATGTGTTATAAGTTTTTTTTTCTTAATTATTTCAAACTAAAATTCTTCAACTAGTTGCAATATTTGCGTCTTGTTATAGCATGCTATTATAACCTCATTTTATAGCTTAGCTAAACTTTCAATATTGTAACAAAGAATTTAGTTTATTTTTTGTGGGGTATGTTCGGCTAGTCTGAGAGATAGAATTTGATACTGTCTAAAATGCCTAACTGTCCAGACAAAAATTTGTTTACCTTAACCAAGTTCTGGGCCCTCAACAAATATTATTTTTGATGATAAATTGAAGCAACCAGTAGATAGTCTTGGCCAGCTGTCATTTGGCATTTCGAGTTCTGAGCCCTTAACGAGTAATGTTTGTGAAGATAAACGGAAACACCTGCAGATGGTCTAACTCAGCTGTCATTTGGCAGTCATCGGAACGCGAGTAAGGTACTCGCATTTGAGCAGTTTTGAAAAAGAAGTCAAGCAAAAAGAACTGTGCACAATTTCTATCAGTTAAAAAAGCTATAAATTGGACCCAAATAAAGAAGTAAAAAGATTTATTGTACTAGAAAGGTTTAAAGATGGTTTCCTAAAAATGCTTGCACCGAAGAGGTAATATTGCAAAAATAACAAGATAATTATGCAAATAGCCATTGCAAAAATGACAGCGTTTGATAGATCTTTTTATGGAAAAAAAACATATGAGTTATAAACCCAAGACCAACCAACAAAACACAACAACTAATCCTCTTCCTCTCTTAAGTAGATTTGAAAATCGCCTCGATAAATACCTCAAGGAAAATCACGTAGCTCCCACCGTTAGCAGACCGTCAATGAAAGTATGCCTCACTCAGTCAACTCAGTCCCAACTGAATGCTTACCGCTGTATATAGAAGGAAAGTTTTCAAAATTAAAAATTGGCAATTCTAATGAAGACAACGAGGTAATTAACAAAACAACACAATCTCGACTGAATGCCTATCGCAATAAGCAGAAGGAAAAATTCACCAAATCAAAAATTGACACTCCTGACGACCAAGATATAACTGACCAAAAAACCCATAATTATTAAGCTGCATCAACTGAATATATTGATATATTGATATGGAGACAAAATTTTCACATTTATGTAGGACAAGGTAAAATGAATTGCGTCCTAGTAGAATGGTGGGTTCTCAAAAGAATTACAACAACCTTAAAAGAACAGACGGAGTTTGTAGCCAATCTAAAGAACACCATTAACGAGCAAAACACTTGCATTGAAGTTCTTATGGACGCAATGAAAGAACGAAAAACTCAATCAAAAATTGACCAGCGTAAAGATGTCAAAACCAGAAAAGGGAAAGAAGACGAAACGTTATGTTTAGATAGAGGTTTTACCATAAATTTGGTGAATGGTTTTGATCACACAAGTTTAAATACAGTTGATGATGAGATGACTAATAGTTGCACGAGATCGTCATCCTCATTGCAGAATGTAAAACAGAAAGACATTTTACCGAGGTCCGACCTCACAAAATTACCTGAGAGAAGTGGAAAAACTAGTCAAAAGGCACGTTCAAAGAAACGCAATTCGAACTCAACAGATAACCGACATTTACCCGGCGATACTCGTATGGAAAAACAATCACAACTACAATTGGACGAAGTTTGCCCAATTTGGAACATGACTTTTGATAGGGAATTTGACATAAAAAAACGCAATGCTCACATCAACAGCCATTTTGAATGATACTTACTTCGTCAACTTTTTTAGTTATCGAAATGGCGATCGTGAAGTCTCATACCCTATTGACACCAGGTTCGTTTACGATAAACTGGAAAAGCGTTTTTCTCTTTATATTTGAACGATGCTTTGTTTGCTTATTGGAGTAAGGATAAAGATTAGAATTGCTCAAGAAAGCTCCTTTGCTTACGGGACGGCAGAAATAGACTTGTTTTATCATATGTAAAGTTCAGTAATACGTATAAAGACAATAGCCACGACATTTATATGGTGTTTGTCAAATTTTATATTTTTCATTCAAATGTTAATGTATACATAACAGGAGATTTATAAAATAGTCCTTTTGACCAAGCAAGTCGAGTAGTCGACTTTCTTTCGAATTGATTTTCTTAGGAGTGACCCAGTACTTCATACTTTCGATCATTTCTAAATGTACGTTTATAATTTTATAAATTTGATACAATTTTATCCGTAATTTTTTGTTATCTATGCTCAAGACTTATCCATGTACAACAGTTATCCCTTCATTTTGCAATGCAGTCTTCATATTGCCAAAGCCAAGCGGGCTTCCATAAGAAATGTAGTTCATTTGTGTATCTAGAATCCATAAAATCAAGACACGTGTAATTTATCAAGATACTAAAGCCAAAGTTTGCAGCATTCACTTTTTTTGATTGGTAAAAATGTAAACTGTGGATTTTTTATGTTGCATTTTTTAACTAAAAGTATGTTGTGAGATATAATAGTTTTTGAGAAATATCACTAATATACTGTGACTGACTGTTTACAGCTGTCTGACTTTAAAAATAATACAGCACAAGGGAAGTTAACGTTATCTGCAAAATAGTATGTTGGACGAGATTGTAGAAAATGTCACAAAACCAAGGAAGGTCACTCTCTTCTGCTGTAAACATAAACATCTTAATGACGTAAGAGTAGTTTAAAATAGGAACTATTTACGCACATACACTTGGCATAGAATTAAGTTAAAAACACTCAATTGCTGGGGAACACCGAAGGGTTACTGTCCAATAGTGGGTAAGAGGAAACTGTGTAACTCTATCTCATGGCATATTCTGCATACATACGTAGAGGCACAAACGTTGTTTCGATACGCATTCGACTTTCCCATTTCGCTTTGACCATTGTCGCATTTTAGTAGGTTACAGTTATAAGCCCTTAACAACAGACCGAGCGCGAGGTCTTTACCGAGAAATGTCGGAACAATTTTTCTTTTGATGAAATTGTATCCGTAATATTTTTGTTATCTATCAACAAGACTTATCCATGTATCACAGTTACCCTTCATTTTGCAATAATTTGTTCTTAAACAGTCCTAATATTGCCAAAGCCAAGCGTGCTTCCATAAGAAATGTAGTTCATTTAATGATAGTTTAACAGAAAGGAATTGTTCTACTGTGGTGAATTAAAGGAATTTAATTAGGTAAAAGCCAGCCATAAGTTACTGTTCTTGGCACAAATGGAAAATATGTTGAAATGCAAGCATACCTTCAAAACACGTTACTTATCCGGAAAGCAATTAAATATATTAGACAACATGGATGTTTTCAGGCAACTAGGGTAAATCAGGCACGTAGCCAGAACGATAATAAGAGGCGGGGGTGATGAGGCTGACTGACATAGGACCAGGTTTAATCTATGAGCTACACAATGAATAAAATGGGCAAAAGGATTCTCTTGTCGAACCAATGTTTGAACACCATTGATATGGCCAGACATAAAAGAAGCACCATCATATGTTTGCAAAACCAGTTTTTCTTTTATATCAGAATACTCACGAAGTTTATCTTTGACAACTTGTGATATTGCTGTGGCATTTCTGTTCATACTTATGCATCCACTAATCCTAATTGCCTCTCAATAATTTCACATGCTTTGTCAAACCAAGCAATAACACTTAGCTGCTCTTTGGTGGACACATCAGATGCTTCATCAACCTGAACACTCATAAATGTGCAATCATTTATTTCCTTTCTGATTTCATCTTCAATAATTGAATCAAGACAGCTGATAAGATCATTTTGAATTTTTTGGGAGACTTCAGTAAATCTTCAGTCACCAACTATATCAGATTCTGCTAGTCTAATGTGCAGTCGACCATCGGATAACTTTCCTAGCGAATGAATAGGAAATAGTAGAGTATAATAATGAATAGAGTATATTAAAACACTGAATAAAATTTTTTCATAGTTTACGAAGATACAGCTGTCGCGTTTTTTAATAAACAATGACGTCAGATCATTACTTTAGCAATGTATCAACACCACATGAACGAAATCATTCTTTTTGACACAAGGTTCTCGGAACATTGATAATTGGGAGGAAGGAGGGGTTATTCATATATGCATTTTTCACTTAATTAAATTCTATATGGATATCAATTGTGTTTACGGATTATAACATACGAATGTATAAATGCACCCCCCCCCCAATTATCATTCCGCTGCCCCTTTTATTACTGAACGGTGACTACAGTGTCAGTAAGCACCTGAGAACTGGATTTGTCGTTATGAACTATTTCGTAATAGTTTGAACAATTTCGCAATAATATAACGTAGAATTTAGACAGTGCTCTGGACATGAAATTCACAAACACTTCATGGTTCTCAGATAGTGGTTAGCTGGGTATGTGCATAGCTACCCACAAAAATGGACGTTTCTACCATTTGTTTTTTACTGTATAGAAACTGAGTCTAATGAAAATCCTACGTGGCACGAAGGAAAAGATAAAGTGAACGATGGAAACCAGTCTTTAGGCCTCGCTTTGGGCAACATTAATAATGATGCTTGAACCAAAGACTTAAGAGAAAATTAGGGCACTGCATGAGCGTTTTGTGTTTCAAACCTGATCTTTGTAGCTTTATTCCACACTAATGCCAATACGAGAAAGAAACAGAAGATAAGGTGAAATTATAAGAACAAGCAATTTATTTCAACTCAAGTAGAATCCAAGGAAGAGTGGCAAAACAAATCTGGCATCAGTATAGTAGCAGTAAAATAGTGCTTTCAACTTTTTATTGATCAGTAAGTCAATAAAATACTTCTAAGTTACACTTAAACAAAAAAAAGGAAGCCGTTACGTTCCAATCATCAACATCCATAAAATTCAGCACGAAGAGAAATCCAACCACTCCAAGACACCGGCTTAATTCTTATGAAACTGGCAACAATTGGAGGTGATATTTTATTGTGAACAACAGAATCACTGTCACTGTTAGCCTGAAACACCTGAAAAATAAAATGTATATAGTTGTGTTAAGTATCCGAATAATTTTCCACTTTTATTTTTGAATATTATCAGGGAACTAGTGATGAACGAGAGCTTTAGTATTTTACATATATTCCGAAACATGGAGGCAATCCAATGTTTGTCTTTACTGAAATTTACTTTCAGTTCCAGTTCACCTCGCACTATCTTTATGATAAGAAAATTATAAAGCTATTATTACCACTTTTAGCAGTGGAATTTTTTGAATTTTCGTTTTTTGAAGAAACGGAGAGCTTTTGAAAACACTTTTTGGAAGAGAAAGCTCCTTCGCAATTATTGATAACCAATAGACAGTTTGATTTGTAAAAAAATAAGTTACCTCATTTTTTAGTCTGATAATTGCCACATATTGAAATAGGCAAAGAAGAACTAAGAGCTTGGTTAGGTAATATAATGTGAGATTCGTGTTTTAACATTTTGCTCTTGTATTTTGTTATCTACCTGAGTGTTACCATTTACTGTGTATGGTGTAAATGTGGTTCCAAGGTCGCTGTAGGACAAGGAGAAAGATGTAACCCATTGACTAACTGCAGGTCTTCCTTGAGTACTGATACCGGTTATTTTTGTCGTTTTTAAGAAATTTACTTGAAGCCATTGATTGATATTGTTTGTTCGAGTAGACCAGGCTCCTGTATTTGGTGCATTCTTTGGGCGAAATAATCTGGCGTTTCCTGGACCATGATTGGAATCATACGAGGAAGAAGCAGTAATTTGAGAGTCTCCAATCAAACCATTTCTCAATCCTAGCTCCGTTTTACAACCTATCAAAAACATGTGAAATCTGAAGGGCAATTGCTAACTTTATAAAAGATGCCATGGTAACGGAATTTAGACGAAAACCGTTTAGTATATTAAGTATAATTGTGTTAATAACCGACGTCACAATATGATGTCATACTCGCGTGAGTGAGTGGTTAGTCGCAGACGCTGTTCAGCCAGGCTGGATGCCTTCAATTTCAGGTTTGAGTGCCTTGGAGCTCAGATCAAGCAATCAGAACTTACATTTCAGACCACCACACGTCTGCACCTGATCACACATATAGGCGCACGGAAGCTATCTCTATCACTATGAGTAAATATTTTCTCCAACTCACAATCAAGGTTCAGCCATATTTTTGCCCGACTAACCTTTAAAATTCACCCAACTTTTTAATCTTCAATCTTTCTTAGGACGCAGCTACCTCCCCCCCATTCTAGCATAAATATATGAGATTTTTGCTAAATTTATAGTCTACTAAACATTTAAAATTGGCTACTTAAAAATATACGTAAAATTACTTTATGTCCCCACATGTCGTAAGTATAGGAAATATGAAAATCTACCATCATTCAGCCTATTTTTTAGAGAAACACTGGGAGCCACCAATGGGTAATTGATGGATGGCCTTATTGGTTGCGTTACATTCCTGTTCACGTTCAACTCAAATTTCTATTGACCAAGCGGCTTACAAAGATTCCTTCTCGCATTTGGCAGTTAATGACATTATTTATATTGAAATTATTATTCCAAATATCATTTGCTTGTCCAAGTTGATCAAACTGTGGATAAAGTTTGACTGCGTCAAGAGAGTTTATAATTGTGGAAGTGAAATGAAATAAATCAACCAATTAAACCACAGCATAAGGAATATAAATAATACAGTAGGTAAACTTTGTGTGCAACAGGCTGCTGTATATTTAATTCGATTACTGGCTGCCGTCAGCAATTTCATCATTCCCATTAGTCAAAAAAAGTAATTGAATGGCTGGCAATATGATAATGACATGTGTAATAAGATGTGAGTGCACGAAAAAATTCAATAGTGTTGGCCCTACTATATATTCATTATACTCTGACCAAACGAAACGACATTGGGACTTTCTACGCAAGCCAGCTATTTCCTCTCTTAGCAACGCATGTTTATATCTTGAACGAAGTTACCGTTGCTGCAATCCAATATGAATATAGTTGAAGCCTCGCGTAGAGCAAAATTGCTGGCATAGAGTATAATCCATTGCTATTTATTATAAAACAAGATTTTAATTTTTCGAATTCTTTGGCAAACCTGATGATTGTCTTTTGTTTATGTACCTGCAGGACAGCGATAGGCAAAATAAATTACTTCAACTTATTGATTCGTTAGTTATTATTCGGAGAATATCACAACAAATTACTTTTATATATATGTATTTTAAATTTAAAATTAGTAATTATAATTTATTTTTCCTAACCCAGGATATGCTACAGTAAGACTTACCATCGCCATTATAGCAATGCCTTGCATCATTGATCTTTTTTTTCAACGACACTTTGACAGCATCCAGTTCTGTCTCAACATCACCCAAAAGACTTTGCAATTTACCATCGCAAACACTTAAAAATACAGGAATAAATTGGTCCAAAGGAATGAATTTTGAAGCATACGAAAACTAGAATGTTTGAAAGATTTTCTGATGATGGCAAATTTCAGTAGTCAGCAAATATTTTTTTATCGGTAATACTTGTTTCTGGTTTGTCTGTTTAGGCATTCAATTATATATGTCTGCTTGTCGTTAGTCGATAAAGCATAATCTAAGCAATACGCTCAAACCATTGGCAAATTTAAGACGATATTTATTGTCATACCTTCCTTGTGCAGGACAAGTGTTGACGATCAAAACCACCATACAAGTCAAGATGCAAACAAACCCCGTCATGATTTCTGAACAATTGCACAAAAACTGCGAAGTGCACAAAAAAACAAAAATATTTTTATTGAGTAAAAATCCAGTGACCGATCTAGGTACGTCAAAATAAATTGCTGCAGTACATTTTGGAATGTATTTACATTCCTAAGCCTTTTATAGTTTTATTAGAGAAGGTCCATAGGTAAAATTATATTCTATAGAAATTCAAAACCACTAGTGTTTTTCTGAACGTAATTCGAATTTAAAATTTAGCAGCTATTATTTCTTTTGAAGAACGTTGAGATCCGCTAGTAGAAAGATCTTTAACGAGAAAAACTTAATACATCAAAGTGAGCTGAATACTTACCTTGACCCTTCGGAATTACTTGCAAGCCGCGACCCAATATGAAAGCACTATAATACTAGCGTTCTTTTTTATAAGGTTTGTAAAGAGGCGGAGCTAAATTTATCAATTATTTTCAAGTGAAAGAAAAACACATTGCGCACGCACTTATCATTGTTATTTTCCTAAATGTGTTATTTCATGATAAGCTCATATAAATTAAGCTCGCAAGAGTTTTGGTGATGACAGACCTTTCCTTATAGTGACGTGAATGGAGTCAATTTATTATATAAAAACGCGTAAAACCTCTGCCATTTTTGGTTTACTTGTACATTTTTTATAAGAAAGCAGCTTATTGCTAGCAACCAAAACATTGTTAAATAAATATTATGTGCAATAGAACTTAACTCTACAACTTATTCTAATTTAAACTGTAGCAGAATTAAAAAATTAATTCATGTTTGTACCAGTCTAGAATTATGTTTATTATGCTTTCATAAAGCTGATAATTTTATTCTTCCTTAGATAAATTTTTACTAATACTGTTTTTATTAGAAGCTTTATACGTTAGTCTTCTTAAATTTAAACAAATCTGCAAACCAAGCAAAGTCACTCTCTTCTGCTGTAAACATAAACATCTTAATGACGTAAGAGTAGTTTAAAATAGGAGCTATTTACGCACATACACTTGGCATAAGATTAAATTGAAAGCACTCAATTGCTGGGGAACACCGAAGGGTAACTGTCCAATAGTGGGTAAGAGGAAACTATGTAACTCTATCTCATGGCATATTCTGCATACATACGTAGAGGCAGCAAACGTTGTTTTGATACGCATTTGATTTTCACATTTCGCTTTGAGTATTGTCGCATTTTAGTAGGTTACAGTATAAGCCCTTAAAGTAAATGGTTTGAGCCCGGGAGTATAGTTACATGCTTGTAAATGTAGATCGTCAAGGTTGGTATAGTCCTGAGAAGGGCTGTTTTTGTTGTTATTGACTGACGTTTCGACAACCTTAGCGGTAGTCATCTTCAGGGTGGGGCGACTCAGGCACGTAGCTGAATGATAATTGGGGGGGGGGTTGTCGTATTCATATATGCACGACATGTCGTATTGTCGTATTAGTTCCTTTAGAAAGTCATTGTTGTTTTACGGATTATAAAATGAGTATATGAAGATGCCCCCTCCCTCCAATTATCGTTCTGGCTACGTGCCTGGGGTAAACAAACGGTCGTCACCATGGCAAGTATGTCGAAAGTTGACAAATTGAAGGTCATCAAGAAAGTCATCTTCTTTTGACCGTTCAAGCTCACATGGAAAACTTTAATTTATACACACGAGAGCTCTGTACAACAAACTTCGCATTAGTGTACTACAAACGCATCTAGAATACATAAAATCAAGACACGTGTAATTTTATCAAGATACTAAAGCCAAAGTTTGCAGCATTCACTTTTTTTTATTGGTAAAAATGTAAACTGTGGATTTTTTATGTTGCATTTTTTAACTAAAAGTTTGTTGTGAAATATAATAGTTTTTGAGAAATATCACTAATATACTGTGACTTACTGTTTACAGCTGTCTGACGTTAAAAATAATACAGCATACAGCACAGGGGAAGTTAACGTTATCTGCAAAATAGTATGTTGGACGAGATTGTCACAAAACCAAGGAAGGTCACTCTCTTCTGCTGTAAACATAAACATCTTAATGACGTAAGAGTAGTTTAAAATTGGAACTATTTACGCACATACACTTGGAATAGAATTAAGTTAAAAACACTCAATTGCTGGGGAACGCCGAATGGTTACTGTCCAATAGTGGGTAAGAGGAAACTGTGTAACTCTATCTCATGGCATATTCTGCATACATACGTAGAGGCAACGAACGTTGTTTTGATACGCATTTGACTTTCGCATTTCGCTTTGAGCATTGTCGCATTTTAGTAGGTTACAGTTATAAGCCCTTAATAACAGACCGAGCGCGAGGTCTTTACGGAGAAATGTCGGAACAATTTTTCTTTTGATGGAATTATATCCGTAATATATTTGTTATCCATCAACAAGACTTATCCATGTATCACAGTTATCCCTTCATTTAGCAATAATTTGTTCCCAATAAGCAGTTTGCATAATGCCAAAGGCAAGCGTGCTCCTTTTTTTCGGGAAAAAAATAAACAAACGTTGGACTATATATAGAACAGTTGAAAAGGTTTTTGACGAATGTATCTTTTTATGAGCAGTCCAGTGTAGGCATACATCGCTTCTTTTTTAATGTTTTCTCTTGATGAGAAATAATTTATTGTTGATGTATATACACACAACCAGACGAAGGATGTGGTGTGACACAAATACATAAGAATGGCGATTTCGTTTTGCTGTATGATTTCATTTAATGATAGTTTGACAGAAGGGAATTGCTTTACTAATACTATGGTGAATTAAAGGAATTAAATTGGGAAAAAGCCTGCCTTTATTTACTGTTGTTCTTTTCGCAATGAGAAAATAGTTTGCCACACAAGTAAACCTTCAAAACTCATTATATATTCGGAAAGCAACTAAATATATTGGACAACATGGATGTTTTCAGGCAACTAGGGTAAATCAGGCACGTAGCCAGAAAGATAATTGGGGGTGCGGGTGTCATATTCATATATGCATAACATGCCGTATTTGTTGTATTAGCTCCTTTTTGAAATTCATTGTATTTTTTACGGATTATAAAATGAGTATATGAAGATGCCCCCCAAATTATCGTTCTGGCTACGTGCCTAGGGTAAACAAACGGTTCGTCACCATGGCAAGTATGTCGAAAGTTGACAAAATGAAGGTCATCGAGAAAGTCATTTTCTTTTGACCGTTCAAGCTCTTGTGGAAAACTTTAATTATACACACGAGAGCTCTGTACTAAAAACTTCGCATTACTATGCATAGAATATTTTTATGTCCGATTGTTTCATTCAAATGCATGGTGTGCTCCTTAACAAACGACATCCTGAACAAGTTTCTCCTCAAAGAAACTTAATTAGACCAAGCTAAAGCGCCATCTAGCCTATAGTTGGAAGGAGCGGCAACTTCTTTTCATTCACCGATTACCGCTTTGTTGTATAGTTTGCTTCCGCCATGTATTAAAAGCAGCTTTAGCTGTATGTTTTTAGTTGTTATACTATAATTGCATTAGTTCCCTTAGCTCACGCAGGGTATTTACAAACTTATGCACCTCATTTATATCCATTTTTCTATGATTTTCACGTCACGTTAGATTGGCTTATAATTTTGAGCTTACTTCATTTCACGGCAATGTAGTAGGTGGAAATAGAAAAAGTGCATGAACACTAATAAACGCATCTAGAATCCATAAAATCAAGACACGTGTAATTTTATCAAGATACTAAAGCCAAAGTTTGCAGCATTCACTTTTTTTTTGATTGGTAAGAATGTAAACTGTGGATTTTTTATGTTGCATTTTTTAACTAAAAGTTTGTTGTGAAATATAATAGTTTTTGAGAAATATCACTAATATACTGTGACTGACTGTTTACAGCTGTCTGACGTTAAAAATAATACAGCACAGGGGAAGTTAACGTTATCTGCAAAATAGTATGTTGGACGAGATTGTAGAAAATGTCAAAAAACCAAGGAAGGTCACTCTCTTCTGCTGTAAACATAAACATCTTAATGACGTAAGAGTAGTTTAAAATAGGAACTATTTACGCACATACACTTGGCATAGAATTAAGTTAAAAACACTCAATTGCTGGGGAACACCGAAGGGTTACTGTCCAATAGTGGGTAAGAGGAATTTATGTAACTCTATCTCATGGCATATTCTGCATACATACGTAGAGGCACAAACGTTGTTTCGATACGCATTCGACTTTCCCATTTCGCTTTGAGCATTGTCACATTTTAGTAGGTTACAGTTATGAGGTCTTTACGGAGAAATGTTGGAACAATTTTTCTTTTGATAAAATTGTATCCGTAATATTTTTGTTATCTATCAACAGGACATATCCATGTATCACAGTTACCCTTCATTTTGCAATAATTTGTTCTTAAACAGTCCTAATATTGCCAAAGCCAAGCGTGCTTCCATAAGAAATGTACTTTATTTAATGATAGTTTAACAGAAAGGAATTGTTCCACTGTGGTGAATTAAAGGAATTACATTAGGTAAAAGCCAGCCTTAAGTTACTGTTCTTGGCACAAATAGAAAATATGTTGAAATGTAACCATACCTTCAAAACTCATTACTTATTCGGAAAGCAATTAAGTATATTGGACAACATGGATGTTTTCAGGCAACTAGTGTAAATCAGGCACGTACCAGAACGATAGTAAGAGGCGGGGGTCATATTCATATATGCATGACATGCCGTATTTGTCGTATTAGTTTCTTCTAAAATCCATTGTTTTTTAAGTATTATAAAATGAGTATTTGAAAATGGGGTAAATGAGTATCACTCCAGTGATTAATTGGGATATTGTAATGAATATCACGCACCAACAAACGGTTCGTCCCCCTGACAAATATGTCGAAAGTTGACAAAATGAATCTGAAGTCTTTTATACATACACACGAGAGCTCTGTACTACAAACTTTGTATTGCTATCCATGGGATATTTTCATGTAAACTGTAAACCAACAAGAATTAATAAGATCTCAGCATTTTAGCGTTTCTAACTATTTAAAAGAACTGTAGGCAAAACTAAAAATAGAACGGTTGAATTGACGAAAAAACGGTTGTTTGGATTAGTCAAAGTAGCTGTTTGTAAATTTGTATAATTGTGGTTTAATAAGAATATAAATGAAATTCATTCATGGCAATTAACAATGTCTTGAAGCCGTAGTGCATGAACTCTGTTGCATAAGACTTGTGTTTATGATTAGTAAACCGAGTAGTAAACACTGTAGTTTTAATTTACGACCATCGGATAACTTTCCTAGCAAATGAATAGGAAATAATAAAGTATAATAATGAATAGAGTATATTAAAACACCGAATAAAATTCTTTCATAGTTTACGAAGATGTAGCTGTCGCGTTTTTTTATAAACAATGACGTCAGAGCATTACTTTAGCAATGATGCTTGAACCAAAGACTTGAGGGAAAATTCGGGCACTGCATGAGCGTTTTGTGTTTCAAACCTGATCTTTGTACCTTTATTCGACACTAACGCCAATACGAGAAAGAAACAGAAGATAAGGTGAAATTATAAGAACAAGCAATTTATTTCAACTCAAGTAGAATCCAAGGAAGAGTGGCAAAACAAATCTGGCATCAGCATAGTAGCAGTAAAATAATGCTTTCAACTTTTTTTTGATCAGTAAGTCAATAAAATACTTCTAAGTTACACTTAAACAAAGGAAGCCGTTACGTTCCAATCATCAACATCCATAAAATTCAGCACGAAGAGAAATCCAACCACTCCAAGACACCGGCTTAATTCGTATGAAACTGGCAACAATTGGAGGTGATATTTTATTGTGGACAACAGAATCGCTGTTAGTGTTAGCCTGAAACACCTGAAAAATAAAATGTATATAGTTGTGTAAAGTATCCGAATAATTTTCCACTTTTATTTTTGAATATTATCAGGGAACTAGTGATGAACGAGAGCTTTAGTATTTTACATATATTCCGAAACATGGAGGCAATCCAATGTTTGTCTTTACTGAAATTTACTTTCAGTTCCAGTTCACCTCGCACTATCTTTATGATAAGAAAATTATAAAGCTATTATTACCACTTTTAGCAGTGGAATTTTTTGAATTTTCGTTTTTTGAAGAAACGGAGAGCTTTTGAAAAGACTTTTTGGAAGAGAAAGCTCCTTCGCAATTATTGATAACCAATAGACGAGTTTGATTTGTAAAAAAATAAGTTACCTCATTTTTTAGTCTGATAATTGCCACATATTGAAATAGGCAAAGAAGAACTAAGAGCTTGGTTAGGTAATATAATGTGAGATTCGTGTTTTAACATTTTGCTCTTGTATTTTGTTATCTACCTGAGTGTTACCATTTACTGTGTATGGTGTAAATGTGGTTCCAAGGTCGCTGTAGGACAAGGAGAAAGATGTAACCCATTGACTAACTGCAGGTCTTCCTTGAGTACTGATACCGGTTATTTTGTCGTTTTAAGAAATTTACTTGAAGCCATTGATTGATATTGTTTGTTCGAGTAGACCAGGCTCCTGTATTTGGTGCATTCTTTGGGCGAAATAATCTGGCGTTTCCTGGACCATGATTGGAATCATACGAGGAAGAAGCAGTAATTTGAGAGTCTCCAATCAAACCATTTCTCAATCCTAGCTCCGTTTTACAACCTATCAAAAACATGTGAAATCTGAAGGGCAATTGCTAACTTTATAAAAGATGCCATGGTAACGGAATTTAGACGAAAACCGTTTAGTATATTAAGTATAATTGTGTTAATAACCGACGTCACAATATGATGTCATACTCGCGTGAGTGAGTGGTTAGTCGCAGACGCTGTTCAGCCAGGCTGGATGCCTTCAATTTCAGGTTTGAGTGCCTTGGAGCTCAGATCAAGCAATCAGAACTTACATTTCAGACCACCACACGTCTGCACCTGATCACACATATAGGCGCACGGGAGCTCTCTATCATTATGAGTAAATATTTTCTCCAACTCACAATCAAGGTTCAGCCATATTTTTGCCCGACTAACCTTTAAAATTCACCCAACTTTTTAATCTTCAATCTTTCTTAGGGCGCAGCTACCTCCCCCCCATTCTAGCATAAATATATGAGATTTTTGCTGAATTTATAGTCTACTAAACATTTAAAATTGGCTACTTAAAAATATACGTAAAATTACTTTATGTCCCCACATGTCGTAAGTATAGGAAATATGAAAATCTACCATCATTCAGCCTATTTTTTAGAGAAACACTGGGAGCCACCAATGGGTAATTGATGGATGGCCTTATTGGTTGCGTTACATTCCTGTTCACGTTCAACTCAAATTTCTATTGACCAAGCGGCTTACAAAGATTCCTTCTCGCATTTGGCAGTTAATGACATTATTTATATTGAAATTATTATTCCAAATATCATTTGCTTGTCCAAGTTGATCAAACTGTGGATAAAGTTTGACTGCGTCAAGAGAGTTTATAATTGTGGAAGTGAAATGAAATAAATCAACCAATTAAACCACAGCATAAGGAATATAAATAATACAGTAGGTAAACTTTGTGTGCAACAGGCTGCTGTATATTTAATTCGATTACTGGCTGCCGTCAGCAATTTCATCATTCCCATTAGTCAAAAAAAGTAATTGAATGGCTGGCAATATGATAATGACATGTGTAATAAGATGTGAGTGCACGAAAAAATTCAATAGTGTTGGCCCTACTATATATTCATTATACTCTGACCAAACGAAACGACATTGGGACTTTCTACGCAAGCCAGCTATTTCCTCTCTTAGCAACGCATGTTTATATCTTGAACGAAGTTACCGTTGCTGCAATCCAATATGAATATAGTTGAAGCCTCGCGTAGAGCAAAATTGCTGGCATAGAGTATAATCCATTGCTATTTATTATAAAACAAGATTTTAATTTTTCGAATTCTTTGGCAAACCTGATGATTGTCTTTTTGTTTATGTACCTGCAGGACAGCGATAGGCAAAATAAATTACTTCAACTTATTGATTCGTTAGTTATTATTCGGAGAATATCACAACAAATTACTTTTATATATATGTATTTTAAATTTAAAATTAGTAATTATAATTTATTTTTCCTAACCCAGGATATGCTACAGTAAGACTTACCATCGCCATTATAGCAATGCCTTGCATCATTGATTTTTTTTTTCAACGACACTTTGACAGCATCCAGTTCTGTCTCAACATCACCCAAAAGACTTTGCAATTTACCATCACAAACACTGAAAAATACAGGAATAAATTGGTCCAAAGGAATGAATTTTGAAGCATACGAAAACTAGAATGTTTGAAAGATTTTCTGATAATGGCAAATTTCAGTAGTCAGCAAATATTTTTTTATCGGTAATACTTGTTTCTGGTTTGTCTGTTTAGGCATTCAATTATATATGTCTGCTTGTCGTTAGTCGATAAAGCATAATCTCAGCAATACGCTCAAACCATTGGCAAATTTAAGACGATTTTGTTGTCATACCTTCCTTGTGCAGGACAAGTGTTGACGATCAAAACCACCATACAAGTCAAGATACAAACAAACCCCGTCATGATTTCTGAACAATCGCACAATAACTGCGAAGTGCACAAAAAACAAAATATTTTTATTGAGTAAAAATCCAGTGGCGGATCTAGGGTACGTCAAAATAAATTGCTGCAGCACATTTTGGGAAGTATTTACATTCCTAAACCTTTTATAATTTTATTAGAGACAGTCCATTAGTAAAAATATATTCTGTAGAAATTCAAAACCAACAGTGTTTTTCTGAAACTAATTCGAATTTAAAATTTAGCAGCTTTTATTTCTTTTGAAGAACGCTGAGATCCGCTAGTAGAAAGATTTTTAACGAGAAAAACTTAAAACATCAAAGTGAGCTGATTACTTACCTTGATCCTTCGGAATTACTTGCAAACATTGGAAACACTATAGAGTGTGCATGGGAAACACGATTTTCAGGAACGTCATTCATTTACTGCAAGATTGGGCGACACGAGAATTACAATGAACACAGTAAGTTCTGGAAGACAATACTTTGGTTGTATGAGAGCGGTAAAAATAAAGTTTATTGTGTTTTTAAAAACGAATATGCGATTGAATGTGTGATACTACACAGGCTTACCATATTTAACAAGTGTCATAATGTTTAAAGCCTAAAATTTAATTCATACTATAAGTAAATATCGTATTCTTTTATTGTTTTTATAAATAAATGTTGAAAGATTAATGATTAGTTCACAATTTTAATAAACCTCGATAAACGATAAGTAAATACTTGTAAAATATGTAGTTGAATGGTAAATATAAACAAACATGAACATGAAATTCAATTAAGTTGGATAAAAAAGGTCATAAAAAATGTATACTGTTAACATGCACTAATGCATCTTGATTAAGAGTAACGAAATTATCTTACTTTTGTGTTTTTCCTCTGCTAAACATACGAGTTTTGATGTCTCATGCGACTGTCTTTATATCTCTGGTTAATATTAATACTAATAACATATTGCTTGAAACATTGATTCTTTTACAAAAGCTGAATGTTGCAGCAATTTTTTTACACTTCAACCGCATTTCATGACCAACATTTTTACTTTGTATCATAAATTTAAGGCCCGGTTCAAACGTCGCATTTTACATGCGCCGAATCAAATCTGAGTTTTAGTCGACTAAAATAGTTTTATGCGTAGTTTGATTCAGACGTCGAATTTAATAGTCGCATTTATTATAGTTATGCTTCCACTTTTTCATGTTTATTCATTTTCTTGTACTAATTTCCTAAAATGGCGGACAGGAAAATGTTGAGTTTGTGCATTTCAAATATGATTCGTGTTAATAGGAGAAGGCGAATATTGATGCATGTTGCAGCAAATAAAGTATTAGAAAGGAGACGGCGGCTTCTGCAAATTTTCCATATTTTGCTACTGTTAATTGGTCAAAAATATGCCTTCATACGTAGCCCTCTTTATCGATCTTGTCGAAGACATGATAGAAATTCCGGCTGGTGGAAGAAAGTTTGGAGTGTTTATTCTGATTTTCGTTTCAAAAAAACATTTCGTGTATCTCGAGGAACCTTTCTTTTTATTTTAAGTCGTATTCGACCTATACTTCAAAAGCAAACTGTCACAGAGGAACCCATTTCTCCGGAGGAGAGACTTGGTATATGCCTTTACAGATTGGGACGAGGAGATTACTTTTACACCATCGCTGAGATGTCAGGAAGAGGAGTATCAACGGTGAGCACCATTGTGCAGCAGGTATGTCAACTTCTCGTTGAATACTTATGGCATGAAACAGTTTCAAAAAACATGCCGAAATGTCAGACTGATTTCGAGAAAAAAATCGTGGACATGGAAGAATTATGGCAATTTCCCTGTAGCTGGGCTGCTTTGGATGGTTGTCATGTTCCTATGAAATGCCCCCCCGGTGGTCTTCAAGCGTGCAAAGAATATCATAACTACAAGAATTTTTATTCCATTGTTTTAATGGCCTTGGTTGATTCTAACTACCAATTTGTGTGGGGTAGCTGCGGTTTTCCTGGGAATTCCCATGATGCTATCATCTTCCAGTCTACAAACTTGTGGAATTCAATTCAAGAAGGCATGATACCAAGCATGCACAAACATGTTGACAAAGTTGAAATACCACCATTAATATTGGCTGACTCAGCCTTTCCACTTCGTAACTGGTTAATGAAACCGTACTCAAATGCTGTACTTAGTCCCATACAAAAATACTTCAACTACAGACTAAGTAGAGCACGAATGGTAACTGAATGTGCTTTTGGGCAACTGAAAGGGCGATGGCGAGTGCTCTTAAGGAAAAATGAAGGCAACATGGACCATGTTCGCATTTCGGTTCTTGCATGCATGGTTCTTCACAATATTTGTATCATGCGAGGAGATACAATTTCTAAAAAGCTGGACCTGACATTTAACCCTGACAACAACGAGAGAAGAGACAGAGAAGAAGTACGAAAACTGTTGCAAATGAGAAAATGTCAAAAAACCCCAGATGTTTCAAAAGAAGCGAAAAAAATTAGAAATGCACTATCTGGTAAATTGTGGACAGAAAAGGAAACTGGGAAAGTTTGTTGACTTAATACTGAAGCAGTATGTTTCATGAGTGGAAAACTTTCACAAATTGGTTAACTTTATTACCTTATTAAAGTGTTTTGTATGCTTGTATGTTATATATTATTTGATGTTAATGTTAGTTAATGAGATGACACAATTAGTGTCCTGTTGGATATTAATAAACAAGACAACTTGATGTGTAGTAGTGATTTGAGCTATTGTATCTTTTCACAACCTACATATTTTGTTTTACAAGCATTTTATGTATTATCCAAGACTAATGCATTTATGACAATAAAAGATACAATGCTTTTATAAACCTGTTTCACTATTAATAATTTTTAAATACCAATACCATACAAACTGCAATTGACAAACAAAAAACTAAAATATCTTTGACACTAGAATAGAAATGGCATTGATATAATGCAACATAACTGAATGAAAAACTCAACAAAATTAACTGTATAATAGTTCAAAGTATTTGGTGTTCCTTATGAAGCTCTTCAACTAAAATGCCATTGCCATATACAAAAGTATACAACAAACTACAAATAATCTGAACTGATGAAAGTCTCAATGCTAATCAACTTTGTCTAAACCATTTTTTAAGCAATGAGTAATAGTTATATAATTATAATTTCTCATATATCTTTCTATCATAATAACCTTGAGCTGATGTACATGGTGTGAAACTTGATTGTGTGAAAGATGCAACTGGTTGCAGAGGAAATCCTTGTTGACTAAATGTGTTTGAATCATATGTGCCATGGTACTGGCTGTAGTTTGCAACCATTTGTCCATTGTCAAAACTGTGTATATTACCAGAGAGATTTGATTTGCTTGACTGCTGTTGGCAATTATCACCACATGTGTTCAACAGCTGAATCAGTTTCAATTCATGTTCCCGTGATTTGTCCATCTCTTCTCGCAAGAAGTTAAGCATTTCTTTTGATGAATCATTGCGTATGGTTTCTTTAATGAGTCCTACTACTTCCACCACAGCATCCTCAAGCTTCTGCTTTGTATTGCATCTTTTCGTTTTTTTAATAGGAACAAAAAGCCTACCATCATCTTTTTCTTCCAAAGATCTTAACGTTTCATCATCATCTAAAGCTTCAGAATTAGATGGACTTGGCGATGCTCCAAAAGTATCTGGCTCTATGGCCAGACCTGGATTACAAGAATCTCTGGTCTTTACTACAGGATACAATGCTTTAAACCAGTCCCCAAGACCACGACTCTTTGAAAACGTTTGATTCCAGATGCATTTTTAATTGTAAAGCATGCTTACAGTCACTAACACATTTCTTGAATTTTGTACGTAACTGCTTTAAACTGAACTTAAACTCGCTACCTCTTGCTAAAGCTCTCTTTTTTCAGTTCTCTTAAAATTTCCCCATAAATCTCACTATTTCGTTGGCACTTTGTATTTGTGAATATAAGTTTTCTTTTGTAATAATCACTGTTCACAACGATGTCAATTAAATCATTTACATCATCAGGGTTCCAAGTAGACTTACGGCCAGATCTCTTTTTTCTCTTTTCATCAATTTCTTTCAAATCACTATCGTCATTTGACTGATCAAGTATATCATGTTCAAACTCATCATATTCCACACTAAAAAGAAACAAAGTTAAATTAAATTTAACATGATTTACTCATTCAATTTTTTGTAATTAATCAAAATTTCAAACTATCGACCATGCAAAGAACAGATAATAAATAAAAATGCTCAATGATACTATAAAATACCATAGCATATTTACATACCATAAATGGATTTCATACTTCATAACTTACATACATACCTTTCAGTTGGACCCATAACTTCGCCTTCGGTGCTCTCACAAGAGGACAGTCCAAACGAACGTATGCTCGCCCGAGAAGATGAACTCCTACCACTTTCTTGATCGACTTCCTCACCCCTAATCTTTTCATGAAAACATGCATCGCAACGAGAAACCGCTCGTCCTGCTTTCCAACCAACACTCTCTTCGTCGTCTTCAAAAATAGAGCACCTTGCACATATAAATTTTTTGCACTTTAAACAAGTGTATTTTGTTAAACTTGTGCAAGAAATACAAGGGCCATTAGCATCACTCGCTGCCGCCATTTTTTTATAACTTTGCGCATGGCATTTAGCATGGAAATAATTGATTTTTGCTTAGAAATATTTTAAAATAAATTATGCATTAAATTCGGCTCATGTAAAATGCGACGTTTGAATCAACGTCGAATTTTCGTCGCATATTCGACTAACTCAGTCGAATATGCGACTAAAGTCGCATTAAATTAAAATCCGTCGAATTTAATTGATTCAAACGTCGCATTTTACATGCACATAATTCTTGCATTTGATTCGGCGCATGTAAAATGCGACGTTTGAACCGGGCCTAATTGAAGTGTAAATAAACTAAATATGGAAATTTGTAAATGAAAATTGTCCTTCTCAATACTTTAGTTGAAATGTTGCTTCGGATTCTCTTATGAAGAATAATTTCTGCGAGAGTTTGTTTTTTTATAATATTTCTGAAAGTTTTGAAAGTTTTGATTTTTTCGTTGTTGTGCCTTTCATGAATGCGCTTTTCGAACACATAATCTCATTTATTAACTTGAAAGGGAAAGACGAGTTTAATGAGAAAACTTTGATATGTTTGATAATTTGTTCTTATATTTGTATAGATTCTTTCTCTGGAGACTCCGATGTTTTGGCAATATTTTTGCGATAATAGGCTTAGGTAAAGTTTTCCATGGTTGTTTCTTTTTCATATAAGATTATTCACAGCCAAACAGAATTATGTGTTTAGTGTTATGTCAACCATATGAGTTATTTGATATTGGAATCCTTAATTTCTTCCTCAAGAAGTTATTAGTATAAATATAATGACGTTCCTCAAATCACTATTTTTTATAACTGTCTTTTTTACTTTCCTACGAATACCTCTTGTAGTTTTTGTTTTGTTGAATTTAAATAATTTACTGCCTGTTGCTTGGTTATAAACTGGCATTAACAAGGCACATATTATAAAACTGTTTTTTGACTTTATAGACTATCGTCGAAGAAATGGTTTTTGAGAAGTCTTTTGGTCTTTAAGTAGCGTTTATTATTACAGTTATAATGCTTGCGTGATTAGAGTGTAACTTTATGTAGCTATCTTAAAATAAATGACATTTGAAGTAAACTGGCATTAAAATTCTAGAATCGTTGCAGATATTTATGGAGAGTTTTATCGTTTATAATATTCACTTTTACTCATTGCTAGTTATTTTGAAACAATGCACATCTCAAATTAAAATCTTCTACCTTTGAAAAATATTTTTAAACAGGTAAACAAGAGTGTGGAATGTCCAGCAACTTAAAAATATAACACAAAATTAATATAACAACACAGTTTTAAGTAATATTTTGGTTAATACAACAAAACAGCGTTTGGTTATATTATATTTGCGTATCATAACAGTTACCTAGACAACGAAATTTACAGTAGTACGATTTCACATGTTGCAATATATTATGTATGTAAGTAATATTTTATTTTACGTGTCATTAGTGACACTGACGCGTGAAGCAACCATTGAGTTCTATAATAACTGGAGCGGCTATCTCAAGCGCGGCCTTGGATATCTGATGACGCCAAAAAAATGGCGGATTTCGTCCGTTGCCGCTGAGATTTACCGAAATTGACCGCTTTTCCGAAAATTTCACAATTTCCCACTCCCTCCTAAGGAAAGAGTGAGGAAAATGTATGTGTGTATTTGGGATTCGGCAAGCAATTTTTTGATGAAAATCAAGGTAAAAACCTTAAATTCATAACAGCAAGTCAACTGTGTTGTCAGTTATGTGCTTCTACGAGGATGCATTTATAACTATCGACGAAAGAGCTATATGTCGGCTACACATGTATGAATGCAGATGTGCGTCGTTTTTTTACCAGCGTCAAACTTGTTTGATCGATTAAACTCTTTAGTCTATACAAAAAAGTATATCACAGTTCATCTCCACGGCTCACGAGAGAGAAGTTAGCTTATTTGTTATCATTGCTATTTTGCTTCTTTTCATGATGCAATGGGCAATGGCTGTTTTCGCCACAATTGTTGGATTTTTACTTGTTTCTTTAAAAAAGTAAATATTAAATCTCTGGATATTTACGGATTTTCTGTAATTGAATTTCATATTAAATTTTAAAAAAGACTCAAGTCTGCATAGGTTTGGTAAATGAAAACAAACAATATTGTATAGAAATTACTTTAAGTAACCTTTTTGTGATGTTCTGAAGTGCAACTGCATCAAATACTTGTAAAGTTGTAGCACATTTTGATTTTGTTGTATTGATATATGAATTGGGCAAAATGCAAATAATCATCAATGCTTCCAATGGTGTTTATAATTCATTTGTAGTTTTAATACTTCTACCCTTCTTTTTCACTTTGTTTTGTTTTTCCTATATTTGCAATAGAAGTGCACTATAATTTGAATGATTAACACAGTTTTCACCTCAATAATAAATTTCATAAGCAGTTGGTAGTGCATTTTGTTGTCTGAGTATCCACATCTGGTGTTTTGTTCATACAAGAATGATGAAGTGCAAGTAGATATGTCATAGCAAGGCAATAAAACCAAATGAATTACATACCTATAGTGTACTTTTATGCTAGAAGCTTAAAAGCTTTTTAGAAATTAGAAAGTTATTGGATTATATTAACCATATGTCATCAATCTCATGAAAAGAAATAAGAAGCAAAAAATTTGTAGGAAAGCTTTGAAGTGAAAAACTTTTCTTTAAAAAAGTAGCAATAATGCATATGATAAATCTCCATTCTGTACTTTACTAGGTAAATAAGCTCAAACTGTTTCTTAAAGCAAAAACTGTTATAAGGAAGAAATATACAGTACAGTAACTTTAAAAGTTTCATCACTGAATATTTAATGCTTCAGTGTAGTGCATTAGATATTAGTAACATTTATACAACACTCAACTAAAATATTTTGATAAAGATTTGACATTATTTAAACATTAAGTTATATAAAACCCAATGGCTTATACAGTTTGATGCTTCACATCTGCATCAAGTCATCAATCTCAGTACAAATGTTTAAATAGACACAAACTTTATGGCTTTCCCATTTTATATCTTTGTGAATTGACAATTCATTAAGCATCAAAACACACACAACCTTGCCATCTTTCTTTGGTTCATGAACAAAAAAAGCATTCAAGGCATTCAAAGCATTCAAGGCATCCTTAGTGAATCCATTGTCTCCATCCATAGAATTTGACCATGATCAAATTAAATAACTCTGGATAGGGCAGACAATAAATCAATTATCTTTACAGCATTATCATTTTTTTAAGACTCTGCCTGGTCAATGACATCTTCCAGTCATCTTTACTCCTTGGTCTTCCCTGCATGTTGTCAGCAAATAGAACATAACAAGCTCTGTTCCAAATCATGGGTACTCTTGGGGCTGATTATTTCGTTTTGATACTTACTCATGTGTGCAGGGTCTTTTTTGCTTTATAAAATTCTGCATACTTTTCTGTCATTTGTTAATGCATGAAGTCGTAAATTTACCCATCTATTTGCAAAATAGTTTCCCTAAACAAAAACAGGAAAACATCAGTATATTTGGCGTTCAAGTCAGTCTTAAAAAATACGATCTTTAATATGTATTTTTATGGCTTTTCAAGTGCATGTATAAATGCTTTTCAGTTTTCAATCGTTGACGGACTAAAAAACCAAGCAACTATCTCACCTGTGAGAAGCGATATGTTCCTTTTTGTGGAAACTACGACATCCAACAATTGAACGATTGAAGTGTTGGCATTATAAAAGAAATGCCAAAAAAGAATCGTCACAGAATATGGAACTAACGATATCCATATTCTGTGATATCGTGTTTGTTTTTGAAAAATTCTTTATAATTTACTATAGACACCAGGGGGAGGTCGAGAATATTATTTTTCTGCAAAGCGATCATTTCAGCGGAAATACGTCCATTGGCCGCCATTTTTTTGGCGACCTCGCCCCAGTAAAGTTAGCCGCTCCAGTTATTATAGAACTCAATGGAAACAACCCAAAAATATTTCCATTGGTTCAAGGACTTTGTATCAGTCACGCGTGACTTGTGCAACCTCGTGACAATATGGGAAGATCCGAGTTTTGAGCTCGGGCTTACCTTCCACAGCAAGTAAAAAATTTTGAAAGAGGAAAATACCGTTAAAACTTATCCGGCCAGGTTTGCTTTATTATTTGTTTGGACATCAATAGGATATTTATTTCCTACAAAAAAGTGGGTGAGGCTCAACAACAAACTAGGGGTATGAGCATGAGCAGCTACTCTACCAAATTTCTATTTATAAAAAGACAATAAAAAAACATTTAACTGCTTTATAAAATATAGCTTTCAAATAAACAAACAACAACACTATAATGACGAGTGAAATTATGTTAAAACGTCACTTTAGTTAAAAACAAGTAATAATATGCTGGAACCAAAGAATAGGCCATAGGCCAAATCACAAAAGTCGTCTAGAAATTACACCAGCATTCATCCAATGACGAACCAGCTGAATTTTAAAACATAGGTAATTTATATTATGTTATGATTTCCTGAAGGTATGTCAAATCTGAAAGTTGCATATTAAGGAGAAGATGAGCAATGTGTACTGCGGTTGTTGACCAGTGATGCCGACATCTTGAAACAAAAAATTGCTACGCCTGCACATAGCCTCGGAAATATAACACAAGAAATAAATTATCAGCTAAAGACGAAATGTGAAGTACACCAGCTTCAAATTTTCATCACAGAGAAAAACATGAGAAATCTATGTAAGACTGCTTATAAAACACGGTGAGATAGCTCTTTTAATCTACAAGTGGCATTTATGTTGTTGCTAACATAGACCCTAAAACTTGACATCATACTGTTATTGTCACAAAGATGAACAAAAACATTTCATTAAGTTGTTCGTATGTGGTCTCTTTTTGTTTGCCTTGAGAACATGCTGTTCCACAGCGAGTGAATATTTTCCTTGACAAGCATACTAACAGAACTGTAGCGGGCAGCAGAGGTTAATATAACAGTTATGGACAAGTTGAATTTCCTTACCGTGGGTCAAATTTAACACCCAAGTTATTAAGCCCAAGCTACGGGACTAAGGATTTTTACTCTGCGACAGTATTTTACATTATAGCAATACAAAAACGTGTACTAGTCAGTGGAATTATCTCAATATCACTAGATGTAAAAAAACACTTAGAAGAGAAGGCCAATCATTTGAGTTCAAAGTGGCGAAATAATGATAATGATAAAGAAATAAAACAGGCCCATATGCTGCGGAGCCAGAGCAGAAAAATATGAACAAGACGCATGCACTCACTACTCCGGCGTTGGGTCATCTATCGCAAACATTACTCTCAAACAATATAGTTACATGAGGAAATTATGTAGTAAATGTACATGATGAAAGACTATCCACGCTATGCGCATAAAGAAACTCATTAGCCACACGCATTGGGTGACAAACACTGAAAACACGTACAAAATTAAAAATATTGATTAAAAAGCAGTGGGTCATTTCTCAAACCTGCCATCATCAAGCGGTAAACAAACAAAATTGTAATTGATTTACCATAGCTGTTTCTACCATTTTTATCAATATTTAAAATAGCAAATATAAATCCAGTACATGGCTTCAAAAGCCAAAAATATACGGATTTTTTGTTTTGTAAGGTTGTAAAGAAAATTATAACGAAAAATATTATGTAAGCATCTCAAACGCGAAGCATATTTTAATGATTACTGAAAACTGTAGGAAAATCCAATCATAAAGTAATACTGTTACATGCTCTATAAAATTTCACAATCATAGCAGAAAATTTTTGTTTTTTTCTATTTCGGTTCATAAATCTGGCCTTCAAATATTTAATCTGTTCCCCAAAACGTCTTCAATTTTATACATGCATACGATCTTGGCGAGTAGCTACATGATGTATTATACATATATATTTTTTCGTCAAGCATCTGCAGCTTTAGTTTTCTTTTCTAGGTTTAGTTACATCAAGGTCCAAGGATAATTTTTTTCACATACATTCCAGCTTCTGAAAAGAACTCAAGTAACTTTTTGGTACACGACATTGCTTGATTGTAGAACTACATCTCTCATGAACACATATCGCGAGCTGGGCAGCAATAAAATGACCCTATCATTTTAGGCATTTCATTTTCTTTGAAAGAGAAACTTGCAATCATTGATCAAAGATAACGCGAATAATGATTTTTCCACTGAATTGTCAGATTTGCTGAGTAGCTATAATTCTTTATCTTACATGTCGGCAATAGTGGGCAATGTTTAATTCAATTTCAATCAATCAAAATGAACTTTGAGAATCATGATCACAAAGAAGCAGTCACCTGAGAAGGAAATTAAAGTTCAAAATAGAGGAAAGTGAAAAAAATGACTGTGAATGACAATGACAATGAATTTGCAAAATTCTTCTTGCAAAAAGAGTTTTTATATCTTATGACATGCTTCAGCCAAGCCGGAAATGTTCAATGATTTGAACAGTGAACAGATATGAGTAATATATTAGGTCGTTCAATGACGAACTTACGGAAATGCGCACAATCCGAAATATATTTACATTAATTTTTATTGTTCGGACATCAGTTCGGATTCAGTCGGAAATCGAATTTTAATGTTTGTTGCATCATGAGTTGTATTTCTCTGTGAAACCACATGATCATCTGCAAATTCTGTTCGTTTGAGAAATAAGAACTGACGACAATTTCTTCTGTCCGATTGCTTTACTACAAAGCGTGTTTTATGACCATGTTTAAACTGGTCAAAATTCACGTACTTGTCAACAGGAGGTTTTTAAAATTTACCAAGTGGCTGTCGCTGAACACGCTTTGTTTATAATATAACGAAATGGACAACGCTGGCTTAATGACTATTTTACTAGATAAATATCATTTAACAGTCGGCGAGACGGTAACGTTATTTTGTCATGGCCTGACAACAAGTGCAACAGACTGGATTGGGTTGTTCTATGAAGGTAATTTAAGACTTTATTTGCCCATAACTAAAGTGTCAAACGTTGCTTTGTTGAAGTGTAATAATCGAAAGAAAGCGATTTATAACAAACGCGCCGGAACACCTCATGATATAACTATAGTTTGTTTTATAGTATCGTGATACAATGTTTAAAATAACAAAAATGACTTATTATGTCGACAATTGTCTGTAGGGTTATGGAATTTCCAGGCCAAACTATAGATACTTTTTCACACCGTCAGCATCTTATCTAGGAAAGTATCGAGAAAGTTATTTCAGGTTTTTTAATTTACGAAGCTCTTTAATCACACCCGTTTGAGTTCGATTCATTCTCAGTCATATAAATTTTAATCATCATTATAATTTAAATTTACGGAGGAAACATGAAATTTGACCCAAATGTGAAATTAACGGTGTGGCATAGAGTCCTTAAAATATACGTAGGTAGATGAAACTATAAACAATAGAAAAATCGTTCATGTAAATCGTTTGATGCAATATTTTTGAATAATTGTTGTGTCCAATATTTTCCGAATGGCCTGCGAGTCGTGAAGGTTGTTATTCTTTATTTTTAATTCTAATTCCAATTCTAATTTTATTCTTATTTAATTAATCTCACCGTAATCCGGCATAATTTTAATTTTATTTGTTGATAATTGTATGATTATAATTGCATTCTCTTTACACCAGTTAAATCTTTTTTTGTAATATTTAATTGATATTTTGTATTATTGCAACTCTGCACATAGAATTAGTTCGAATATGATACCTACTATTGGTTTTGTTACAACCATTTTGTGTTTTCTCTGATAAATTTGCTAGAGAGTTTTTGAGAGAAATTAAACTAATTTTCATTAACAATTTGCAAAGTTAGTTAACAACTTCTATGTTGATTTTTGCATGAAAAACTTATTTTCAGAGATTTTAAACACAGGACTGGATCATAGTAACACATCTTGCAACTGCAATTTTTCAATAGTTACAAGCAACACACCATTTATTGAGTTTTATTGACACACTGTTTATTGACTTTTTGAAGTAAATCAGAAAAAAAATGTATCATTAAACTTTGTCTACATACTTTTAAGAAATGGAAGTTTCTAATTCATTTATAGAAAAAAGTACTGATTTTCTGTATTACATGTAAATTAAATACATGATCTTATACATATTCTTATCCAAAAAACGAAAAGTTCATTACACACTCTGTTTTGTGCATTGTCAAGTTGTAAGAAAACACAACAATCTCTGTTAATGTATTCAATGAGAAATAAAACACGTACAACTTTGACTTTAGCAAAAACCTAAAAGAAATTATGTGTGCAGTACAGATGTCTATCAAATAGTTGTTATTTCACTTCATATTTATGTTATGTAGGTGTGATTTGAGGAATTTGTTGCAAGAATTTTAATCTTTCAAAATTATGGGAGGGGGGAGGCTCAAGCACACTTGCACCCCACCCCCCCTTGTGTCTGCCATTATTATTTTTACCTTGCTATTATCTTTGCAGTATGTTGTTATAATTAACAATGTACAAATATGACCTCAATACTTAATTGCGGCAAATTATATAAATTGCTTACAGATTGGATATTTCATTGACGTGCTTGTCTTGTTGAGTTGTCAACTACAGTTGATTTCCACAATTACTTTACTATAAAGTATAGTAATAGTCAACAGTCATACTTAATGTCAGTCCTAGCACTTGAAAAAGTTAAATGCTCAAACATTTTAATACAATGAATTCAAACAATTATTCAAACGAATATTTTCGAAGTTTGTTATTGGTAATGAAATATTTCGTAATACGTCAGAATTTGCGTACTTTACAATGTTACATTAAAAATGATAAACTTTGCAAGTTACACTACTATTGGAAGCAAAATTACACAGATAACTAACTTTATAAACTATTAACAATCTTTGGTATATGGCTGAGATAAACGGTACACGTTGTTTTCTTGTCTGGACAATGTCATCTTTTTGCCTTCTCAAGAATTGCTCATTCTCTCTCGAGAGTTCATTTTGCATTGTCAAGAATCTTGCCTTTTAAATCATTTATTTTAACTATTCAGGCATTCATCTTAGCCTTTCAAGAATTCATCTTCCGTCTCAAGAATTGATCTTTCCTTTTTGAGAATTAATCTTGCTTTCTTATGAATTCATCTTGCTTACTTAAGGATTTAGCTTACCTTTTCACCAATTCATCTTGCCTTTTCAAGCAACTTGAAACGACGTTATAAAAAATTACATTATGTGCGATTTTACTATTTGTTTACTGATATATACCAAGCCTTTTGTGGTGAAATTCTCTTCCACCTATGAAAATAAAAATAGCCTGAACTACAATTAGCGCCGATAAAACTAAAATTACAAAATCATGCATTATTTTTTGTTTTGTATTATGATTGTGATCATTTATTCGTTATTTCAACTTTCAAGGTGAGGTTGACTCGGTTACAAACTACTTGGATTACAAGCGAGGAGAAAATTTTAATAAGAAGGGCCTCAAGTGGTTGATTGGTGGCAACGTCAATTTTCAACTAGGTAAGCTTTCTTTGTATGTATCACGTAAAACTAGAAAGGCATATGTGCAAGAATAAAGGGTTGCTTCAATACTATGAGGCTTCATGCACATCCTGTACTTTCTTTTATATATAACGTAGAAAGTATTAACTGTGAGAATCAAAAACTTTTCTATCTATTTTTTATAAATACATCGCTTAAGTGTTTAGGCTTCTAAAATTATGGTGATGTTGAAGCAGTAAACAAATAACTAAATCGAAGGGTTGATAAAGCTTTTATAACATTAAAAAAAAAGCGAAATAAATCATAACCAGACAAAACAAATGAACGCGATTTTTGTTGATTTGTATTGTTCATGTTAATTACATTGATACTATGTATAATTAAAAGCTTGCTGTTTAAAATTCCCAACCAGTTTAACCGCAAAGTTTAATCATTTGATTATGATCATTTGAACATCGATAACGATCATGCTTATGTATTTACGTTGTCACGATCGTTGGTAACCTGATTGTATGACTTTCTGTAAAAATTCAAGAAGTTTGTTTGTACAAGCGGTAAAATGTTCGATAAAACATTTTATTCGTCTGTTGTTTGTTTGGTTTGTTTTTTTTTTCTATACGGTAAGACAACCCATTTTTGTTATCCGCAGGTAATGAAGTTAGCTCCAAAATGTATAGTTTGTGAGATTGCCTAAATTATTTTCAAGCAAAATTGTTTAACAATGGATACCCGCTGAGCATCATGGTTGTTGTAGCAGACAAATGCTACTACGAGACTAACGCAATTTCGCATGTAAGCATTTGTACACAAATCTTCTTGGTTTTGTGAAAGCAAACACTGCTGTTCAAAATTTGATGATGTAAAAATTATGGCACTCTTAGTCTATACTGCAATACAGCCCTGGTTAAACATCTTGCAAATATTTTGCTAGCTGCACAAATATCGAAACAGCGGTGATTTGGGCTCGAGATCTTTTACACACGCAACTGTAATGTGCCAGGTTTACGTATCAATTTTTATATTATCTAGTGGAGAATAAATGTCTATTTAAATACGTGGATGGCGCTTTGGGATCGGTTAAAGCTGTCAGTAATGTGGTTCATATTATTAACACGGAGCTACAGGTGTTGTTTCCATCGTATCAAATAATTTTTTTAACCTTAGTGACATAATACTGTGATGATTTTTAGGCAAATACGTCATTTGCACATAATGCCCCACCGTTGTAGAAAACGAAGAAATGTTTTTGAAAACTTTCCATATTTTTTATATCATGTTATGTGCGTAGGGTGTTTTTGGGGCTCTAACCATTAATTTTATGTTCTATTACTCTAATTTATTTCCTTTTTGCGTTTCTACCAGAATTTTTTAATTTAGATTTATTTCTTTGATTTTCGATTGTGATGTAAAAAGAACAAAGTCAATCAACAAAGAGAACCAAAATACGTTGAAGCAAAAAAACTTGCAAATGTTTTTTTTATCTAATTATGGCGGTGTTACAATTTTTTTGGGGGGTTGGGTTCTAATCTCGGAATTTCAAGTTTATATACAAACAGCTATCCCAAGTATCTATCGAGTTTTTTTCCAAATAATCAAGATTTCTTTGACTGTTCACACATTCTCGCTCCAGTCATAGCTACATCAAACGTGTTGCAATCTTCCCACTCGGTTTTAGTCAAGGATCAATGTGTTATTGATTTGTTGTAACAAAAAGAAACAATATCACGAATCTTCGTTTCATATCCAAATGCAATGAAAGTCATCTGTTTTTTAGCCTAGAATTAGTAGGGTTTTCATCCCTTTTGTATCCCTTATTACGTCACTCGTGTAATAATGTCTTCATGTTGTCATACTTCATTAATAAACTTATAGCCGGAAACAATGTCACCTTCTGGCACCCTTAATTTATTTTCTGGCCAACTCATCCAGTTTACAATCACAGGTTAGTGTACAATAATCTTGCAAGTTAGGTCTGACTCAGTGGAATAATTTGATTATCGTCAAAATTTATCTATTTGGATGTTAAATAGCTGTTTCAATGCTTTGATTATTGTAGGTATGAAAGCTCGTAATCTAAAGCGAACCTTGTTCGGTCGTCCATCTCCATATGTCAAAATAAGTTTACGACCAGGTAGAATGCAACGTAAGACTTTTCGTGCCCATCATGGTTCTGTTGGCAAAACAAGATGTCAAGCAAACACCACTGAACCTTTTTGGCCTGGTGAGGTATCTATACACTACATAATTTGCCCAAAAATGACCCAAACCGATGTTTCCGGAATGATCATGGAATTTTGTGGTTTCAATGGACTGGTAACAACTAATTTCTATAGTATAGAATTTCTCGTCCTTCGGACTCGCCCTATTTGGCTTAGTACTTTAAAAATAAAAAACTTCAAAAAACTGCATGTTTATCCGTGATTGTACTCGAAACTATACGAAATAAAACCTTTTATGTTGTTACTTAAAGTGCTTGTGACCTCATTTTGAGTTTTTATTGACTAAAAATTGCCAAAATGGCAGCGTATTTTAAGTACTGGTTACCAAAAATACACTTTCAACAGCAATGATGGATATTATTCATATACGTATGTATGCATGTTAAAATCCACGGAAAACGATTGATTTCCAAGGAACTTGTTATGGCAGAATATGAATATAAGAAAATTATACCATTCAATTATCTAGCTGGCTACCTCACTGTAAATCAGGCATTTTCACTGTGTTTTTTGAGAGCCATCGCCAGAACCATGCCTGGATTGTAACTGCTCAAGCACTGCAGATACAAGCAAAGGCATATTGTAGTATTATCTTTTTTATGATTTCAACTGAATGTGCTCTTGGGATGCAGCTCCTCGGTGTTCGCACCTCTGTATTTGATCTGTTATATCTCTGGAAACACGTTCTTTACGCAAGAACTAGTGAGAAACAGCGTTTTAACATTTATCAAAATTAGTAAAGACCCAAAATGCATTCATAAAGTTATGTTGTGCAATCCGTTCTTTTTTGTTAGTCAGAATATTATGGACGTGCATGTCTCGTCAATTTATTTTGTTTCTCACGTGATTTTATTTTGCTCTTGGAAGGAGGAAACTTGTGAAACATTCTTCACATGGATCATAATTTAAAGAAATTCTTCTGGAAAATTTGATATCATACTACGTATAATCATTCACCTACATTATACCATGTAATATGCTTCTCATGTGTTTATCACCTTTGATATAATGTACGACGGGTTTTTTAGATGTTCGTCTTCAAAGCAAGTATCTGGGATATTTTGGATATTGAAGTACGCAATAGGTCTGTGGGATTAAAACCATCATTCAGCAAATTTCTTGGAAAATTGCATTTTCCTCTGCGAGAGCTACTGTCAAAGGGAAGAAACAGGTGAGAATATTTGGTATTGTATATAATTATGGGTTATCTTAAATGCTTTAGGTTATCTCTAATATGCTTAGCTCGTGTCAGATCTTTTACTTAATCCAACATTTTTAAATTTTGCAATTTTATAAATTAGTTGTACTGTAGCTACACTTTACCAAACAAATCAATGATAGTTGTGTTCTCGTGTCACTGTACGAACCCTACTAGTAATACGTAGGTTGGTAATGGGGACGCAATACAAAATCAATCCATGATATGTGTGTACCAGGCACACTATATAACATCAATCCATGATAGGTGTGTACTAGCGACATACAAATTCAATCCAAGATACGTCTGTACCTGGGACACAATACAAATTCAATCCAAGATAGGTCTGTACCTGGGACACACCACAAATTCAATCCATGATAGGTCTGTACCTGGGACACAATACAAATTCAATCCAAGATAGGTCTGTACTTGGGACACAATACAAATTCAATCCAAGATAGGTCTGTACCTGGGACACAATACAAATTCAATCCAAGATAGGTCTGTACCTGGGACACAATACAAATTCAATCCATGTTAGGTGTGTACCAAGGACACTATGCAAAATCAATCCATGATAGGTGTGTACCAGGGACACAATATAACATCAATCTATGATAGGTGTGTACCAGGGGCACTATACTAATTCAATTCATGATAGGTGTGTACCCGGAAAATTATACAAATTTAATCCATGATAGGTATGTGTCAAGGACACTATACAAATTTAATCCACGATAGGTGTGTACCAAGGATACCATGCAATTTGAATCCATGATAGGTGTGTGCCAAGGACAATATACAAATTCAATCCATAATAGGTGTGTACCAAGGACACTATACAAATTCAATCCATCAATACAAAATCAATACATGATAGGTGTATACCAGGGACACTATACCCAACCGATTTTTAGTGCTCTTGCAGTGGAGCATTGGTCATACCTTAAATCATATTCTGTTCACAGTCAACTTTCAGTTAAATTGTTCTTCATTAAGGTATGAAATTATGTTTTCGTGCTTATTTTTTTTGAAAATTCGTGTTTATTCCTTGCAAAATAATTTCTACAAAACTAGGTACATAAGAATATTCAAGACACGACATCCGAGTTCACATTTTGCCATTAAGTTATAGGATGTCATTGCAAAATTGTTATGACAACATAGCGAGGGGCTTTTCGAATAGTTCATGCTGTGTTTTTTTTTGGGGGAAAATTGACATATTGCAAGCTTTACTCTGATGCATTGTCTCATTCAGTTGAACTGATTTATTTTTGTCTTTTATTGTTTTGTAAGGACACAAATTTTCACTGGTGAACTTATGAAACGTGAACCGTCGCGGAAGATACTTGGGACATTTTCACTAACGATAAAAACTGATCGTGATCTTCCAGGCGCTAGGAATGGAAGACGTAAGTTGCATGAACGTGTAATTTGAGATGTTTTGCCGTAGTGGCTTTATTATTGGCGGTTCTTCACTTGACATTTTTGGTGCCATATAAAAACTGAATAGTTTAGCCAGGTTACGAATGATACGTTACAGCTGGTACTATTTTTTCATTATTAGTTTTTTACGCATTCAGAGTGAATGCTCATTTTTCTTTGTCTATAGCTACATGATCATTTATGTAGCCGGTGGCTCACCCCTATGTCATACTCCAAAAAAGTAAAGGAAAGCCTGACATATACAAGCGTCATATAAAGGTTAAATGTCATATCGTGTGTGTTAATTTATCTGTTGAGTGAAAAACTTATCACATATCATATACGTCAGAAAATTATTTTGAAAGACAAGCTGTTGACAGTTTCGCATTTGTAGCAAAAAGCGGTTTTTGGCAAAAAGTTTAATTAATATACTTGTATATTCGTGTGAAATTATATTTAACAATGTATTATTTACTGCAATTTAACTTAGGGGGTGTTTTCATGAATCCTGAACGACTTCAATCCCGATCGAAACGTGATGTCAATCCGTGTTTACATGGGAAATCAACACAAAGATTGACATTTCGCAAGAATTTTGAATTTTGAAGATAACGAACATAAACATTATAACAACCCTTTTCTTTTCTATTGTTTCGGCGTTAATAAAGCTTAATACTTGCATGAAACTAATTGTTGCTTTTCGTCGCACTTATCTTAGCCCATTTAGCCACATTATTTGCTTACGAGCTTCAATTTCCCAGAAGACAATACGCATGGTGCATGCGTGCTTTGTCATAAATCACAATCTCATTCTAGAATGAAACTCAATTTGCGTTTACATGATGTTAAAACTAAATTTCGATCCGGAATGAAAATAGGAATGAACTCGATCCTATCGAATTGTAGCTCATTCCGGATTCATGCAATAGGATTTTTTTTGAAATGGAATGAGTTCATTCCAGATCGAAAGTCATTCCGGTTAAACGATATAAGCACGAAAACTAAGTCACGTGACATGTAATATATGTAAATGTGACACTTTCTATCTTCTGTAAATTATGTAAAAAAAGTCGGTCGATAAGTAATGGAAGAGAAAAAAGTAATTCTGGCTAAGATTGTAGGCTTTTTTTATGAAATATATCCATTAAAAGTCAGTCCCAAGGCCTGGAATTTAGAACACCTCCCAATTTTTTTTTTGCGCGCGCTTAATTCACAATCAGATAAACCATGAAAAGTCTAACTAACGATTTCCACTAACATTTTTTTGAAAATCTTGCCCGCTGTTGACTTGAACGAGGTTTTCCAAACCTGTATATTGTGGCAAATCCACATGTGTGCTCTTCGTTCCTATTTTTACTTTTTGTGAAAACACTAAATTTCTAGAAAAGACTTCAGCTAGTATTTTGAAATTTACTAACGCATGCCGCGTAAAAGATGTTGTCTTGTGACTTTGATCTACGCTTTTACAATAAGTGTAGCTTCTCCCGACAGTCTTCACTCTAGTGACTTTGATCTACGCTTTTACTATAAAGGTAGCTTCTCCCGACAGTCTTCACTCAAGTGACTTTGATCTACGCTTTTACTATAGGTGTAGCTTCTCCCGACAGTCTTCACTCTAATGACTTTGATCTACGCTTTTATTATAGGTGTAGCTTCTCCGGACAGTCTTCACTCTAGTGACTTTGATCTACGCTTTTACTATAAGTGTAGCTTCTCCCGACAGTCTTCACTCAAGTGACTTTGATCTACGCTTTTACTATAGGTGTAGCTTCTCCCGACAGTCTTCACTCTAATGACTTTGATCTACGCTTTTATTATAGGTGTAGCTTCTCCGGACAGTCTTCACTCTTGTGACTTTGATCTACGCTTTTACAATAAGTGTAGCTTCTCCCGACAATCTTCACTCTTGTGACTTTGATCTACGCTTTTACAATAAGTGTAGCGTCTCCCGACAGTCTTCACTCAAGTGACTTTGATCTACGCTTTTACTATATGTGTAGCTTCTCCCGACAGTCTTCACTCTAGTGACTTTGATCTACGCTTTTACTATAGGTGTAGCTTCTCCCGATAGTCTTGACTCTAATGATCCAAATGGCGAGTTATCTCATTTAAGCAACGGTGATGAACATCCATCGACAAGCGATGATCGGCGACCCTCAATAAATGCCTCTACCCCTAGCGATGATCTAAACTCTCGTGATCAATCTGATGCAATATCCATACCGTCATCGCCGATCACCCGTAATGTTTTCTTTGATCGAGCTGCAGCACAATCACAACCAGATTTACTTGGTATGCCTTACTCCACCCACGAAAACATCATTTTAAGAAAAAGACATGTCTCGCACGGAAATGCTGACGATCCACCCGGTGTGAACTCTCGTTTTTCCATGCCTCCATTTTTGCTCTCGCGCATTTCCTCACGTAGCATGGAAACCCCTTCAATGTCTAGTAGTTATGCAAACGAGGTGACGTTGCGAATGATTGGTGCTGAAGGTGAGACTGTGAGCCAAAATTCCGAGTCCGACGAAATTCCCGAGTGCGCTGTTGTACATCCTGACGAAGTGGCCACTTCATCTATGCAACATGAAGTTAGCACTCCTGACAATGGCAGCGACTCTATTGGTGTGACACAACCTTCTTCTCGAGGTGTAATTACTACTGTGGAAAGCAACAATAGTGATGCGAACGATGTTGCTGATGACGAGAGAAATAATGATGCAAATTTAGGTAGCATGGAAAGTAATGAAAATGAAACGTCAAATGTTGTCGACGTTGGTGAAGGCTCACATTTAAATGCAAATGAAACTACTTGTGCAAATGATGAGAGCAACCCGAATGACTTGCAGTCAAACAGTGAGTCAAATCATCCTGAGAACACACATGTAGCTAATATTAGTGGACATTTAGAAATTGTTTCACTTTCAAATGTTGTTAATCATGAGACTAATGTGCTTGAAGATACACCTTCTGTGTCTCAAAAGATTTCAACACAAACGGAATCTGAGTTAAGTTTATCTGGCTCTGTTACAACTATTTCATCCATGGAAGCTTCGCATAGCGAGGAAAATACTTCTGGCTTATCCAATTCTCATGGCGATAACTCATCACCTTTGGTATTGCTTGCAACACAAGATCAAGTGGACGTTGGGGATTCTTATGTTAATGACCAAAACAATAGTGATGTACCTGATCCACTGATCGAAAGTCATGAAAGTGTTTTGTCTGGTTCTTTACAGGACGTCATGGATCGTGGAGCCAGCGGTAACAGTGATGCAGTGATAACCAACGTAGGTATATCAAATGAAGAAATTGGACTCAATGAACAACAACTATTGAATGTTGAACAGTCGACACTTCCTAAAGAATCTGTGACTACTCATAATGTAGGTGAACTTCCTGTCATGAGTTTTCGGTCTGATTCTAATGTTATATCTAGCGAGTCCACTGATGTTGAAGGTACATCACCCAGAAGGACTATTGGTACTTGCACACTTAGAACATTATTTCAAATACCTGATGGAGATAGCACAATCGCTCAGCCTGTTGAAGTTACAACTGAACATAATGATTTAGATTTTAATAATGATTTACTCAGGAATGTTAATCAAACGTCTGGTGATACTGAACATGTGAGCGGTGATTCGGTAGAAACAAACATAAATTATTCTAATGAAAGAAGTGAGATTTTAGAGAGCCCTGCTGAGAATGACAACATCTTGAGAAGTTCGAATTCAATGTTTCCTGTTGAAAGTACTGAACGTGAACCTTCGAATATATCATCAAATTTCGGGAATTTTTCATCAGGTGAGTCTGATGGTCGTGTTGGTACAAATACTATTGGTGTATTGAACGATAATGTTGAGTCAATAACTGAGCGTCCGTCACAGGATCAAGCTATTTCAATGAATAGTTACACAGAAGAAAGGTTACCATGGCATGAAAATTTGGCTGGTTCATCCTCAATCGACGCGAACAATCGTTCAGTTCTAAATAATGATATTCATCAAACTTCAACACCTTCGTTTGTTGGCTCTTCCAAGAACCAGATTAAACACTTGCGCTCAAAAAATCTATCAATTCGGCTACCATCTCGTACACCTACTCCATTTCCTGTACTTCATGTCGTACCACCAAATGTACCAGTTTCTCGACGCTTATCTGAAAACGGCGATGCATCGTCTTCAGTCGATCCTGAGCCTGAATCCGATGGAAATATTGCTGTGCATGAACGAAAACCAAATTCCTCGTCCACTAGATCGCTTGCAAGAGACGTATTTGACACACCTGATAATTCTCGTGATTTGATAGATAGAGGTACCTCCAGCTCCAGATCTTCACATCTCGAAGCAACTGCATCATCCGTGTCAAACGTCTCGAACACCGAGAGGACACGTCGTACTTCGAGTAGTCACACCAAGAGAAAAAACAAATCTCGTAACAGCATGAATCAGCATTTGTCGACAGCGGATACTGCCAATGAAATTGTTAATTCATCTGGACACGAGCGACCTAGACGAGGAAGAGCTGCTAGACAGAGAAGTGTTGATCATCCAGTTGGTGATGGTGAGAATGGAAATACGGAGGGAGCAACGTCATCACATCGTCCTGAGTCCATCTATATTCAGATTTCCGATTTTGCAAGGGATGATGAAGCGATTGGCGAGCCGTTGCCACCACGTAAGTCGAAATTTTTTATATTTTAAATGTATTTTAATTGCTTTCAAACTGGTAGTTTTGGAATATTCTCCTAAATAAAACTATCGTATCTCTGGTTTCTATTAGCTGCATTATCACCTCAATGTTTAATGCTGGTCATAGCTGTCAACATGTCATAAAGAAAACTACATTTTTGCGTCAGAAGCCTCTCCATATTTATTGTATGGACCAAAACACTCACCAAACACTATTTATATATTCATCAACTTATCTTTCAGTTTTTTGTTGCTTGGATCTTCCTAGGTGAAGTTGAGGAAACCTTTTTGCCCATCAAGATGATCAGTGTCATTCATTGTTTTCGTGCATAAGTCACATTTCACGAATCTCTGTGAACAACAATGTTTTTGTCGAACTTTCCACGTTTGTTTTGCTCAAATCATTTAAGAAACGGCCTTTGTTTTGAATGTTGTCATGTTATTGTATAACCTGTCGACTAGCGTGGTTTCTACGTATTATGATGTGTAGACCGTGGTGTTAGAAGTCATTTTAGTGTTCCTTTTTAGATTGGGAGAAAGCTGTTGACACATATGGTCGTATTTACTACATTGATCACGAAAACAGAATTACTACTTGGATAAAGCCCAGTGTTGGTATGTTTTTTTTTGTGTATAAACTTTTGCAGTCTAATGAAACTGTTCACAGTTTTGACAAGGTCAAGCGTTAGAAACACACCACATGCTTGCATTTAGCTACTGATGTATCTTGACCGATATTGAATCTATTGTTTTACTTGGTTTTAGCGTCAGCGTCTGAAACATCTTTGAATGAGGTTAATCATCAAAGACAAAACCTTGATAGAAGGTATGTACGCAAAACTGATGTTTTAAGTCAAAGATAACATGCTATAATGCTTTTTTGGAAATATCCCTATAGGATAATGATGTTGGAAAGTATTATGTATATTAGTCACGGTAATGAGTTGACTAGCGTATTATGTAACTTGACTAAACATTTCTTCTCAGGTATCAAAGTTTTCGTCGAACTATATCTGGTCGAAGGCGACGACGTTCTCACGATGTGGCGATCAGCGGAAACACTGACAACGTTATATCCAATGAAAACTCAAATTCTAACGAACCGTCTGTAGTTTCCACGAGCAGTGATGATGCATCCAATCCAAACAGGGAATCACGGTCTACACCATCACGTGATACCATGAACGAGCAATCTTCCAACGAGGGAAGAAATTCTATACCGACGCCAGACACTAACACGCCTTCAGCACGTGGTGAAAGTTCGAGATCCAGTGATACATCAACAGATAGAGCTTCCGGTGATAGACGACGGTTGTTGAAATCAAGTTACGTAAAGTTCCTCACTCGACCGGATCTGGTATCATTTCTAAAAAACAGTGGGGTACGTAAGTTTAATTTGCCCTCCCCTTCTGCAGCTAATGTCTTATTTTACTGGGAAAAGAATATTGTTTTCTGTTTATTGCCAGGAGAATTTGTTTCGTGTATCGCGACTTTTACTGATAAAACAACGCCACAAATACTTTAATTTTATCATAAAATAAATTACTATCATTGCTGCATACATGCAAGACGTTTTTGCCAACTCTATTCATACATAGAAGCAACATCGCTTGAAAAAACAGGCATTATTGCTTGAGAGATGGCAGGCGAAAAAGAATTGAACTACCAAGACAATAACAAAATGATTCTAAGGAATCGTTTTATTTTGTTTGCTTTCCATAACTCAAAGTGTTAATTATTTGAATTTTTTAATCAGTTGTTATTGGAATGAAAATAAATTCATCAGTCATTTCGAGCTCTTATAATGCAAATTGATTAAGTAATTGAAGAATAGTCGCGATTGATTCAAAACTTCCCAATTTTGTTTGCATTAACCAGCTTTTGTAAGTATGTGATTTGCTTACGTTTAGCTAAGTGCAATGCTTAGATATCGTAATTTTCTCAACTGTTGTTGACTCTCAGATCGCTGGTTGCCGATAAGTATTCTGTTGACGACTTTAGATCAATCTACGTTTGCTCTTAGGGTGCGCTGTTTTGAAACGTTTATAGTGTTTATTTTGTGCCATACGCATACGAAGATGTTTATGAGAACTAATTGTTCATCTAGCTGCGTAATTTTACTTATACTTGGTACCTTTTGAATTTAGGCTGCTGGTCAGCTTTATTTTAACAGTCCAGAACTCAAGCACATTGTGAAACAAATCCAGCGAGATGCACGACAATATCTCAGGTTTGCATTTATTTTTTCTTTTGATGATTACAATAATGGTGAAGTCTTTCGAATAAAGTACTTATGTTTCAGCCAATCTTAACGCTATAATCCAATATGTTTTTTATCTGGAATAAATTATGGAAATTTTGAATGGTTAACCGAGGGATATAAGTTTGGCTCGAGTTTATAATGTGTTCGAAAAGTATACCAATTTTAATGACTGTTTGCAATTATGAAGAATTGTGTGAAATAACTTTATTGGGTTACAATGTTTGGATCTGCTAGGAGAAATCCTTGGACAGCTATTGATAGACATTGGCAAATGTTACATAGGAGTTTCTTCTTTAGATACATGCATGATCGTAGCTTGGTATCATTTTTAAATTCGTTTGCTGATGCATCGCAGCCATTACCTCGTGGATGGGAACAGAAAACTGATCAACATGGCCAGGTATATAGCTCACATAAATTTTACATTTCTCGAGTTTGGTCCTGTTTAGCAATTGTGTCTCTGAAGAAAGAGTCACGAAAAAATACAACAGTCGTATTTAGTTTTGTATACAATACAATATCTAAAATCTTTAACATATTTTTAAGTATGATTATCTACAGCGTTTGTTCATAACCATTTTATACTCCTGGATTTTGCGATGGTAGCATGCTTTTCGCTTCTGACACCCAAATGAGGCTCGACCACGTTTACAATACACTGCATGCTCGTTCATTTGATTTGACAATAATGTATCTTCTCTAGTTTAGTTTTATTTTGTCTTTCATGCATGCATATATGACTTCTCAAATATTAAAATAACTTCACATCAATGGCTTTTGATTGTATCGTTTTGTACTATATTTGTTATTTTTGTGTACATAGAAGTACTTCGTGGACCACAATAGTCGAAGTACGAACTTCGCCGATCCTCGGCTCCCAATCGATGGCCCTCACGGACAAAGCCGATCAAGGGCCACTATAGAGGTAAGCGAAGAACCAACATTTTACTTTTCAAACATTTTCAAACTATGATTGTGAGATTAGTAAACGTTTGTAGAAAGTGCTTTTGTAATGGTGATGTTAGTTACTTTTGGCAAGTAAAAATCATTTAAGGTAAAGAAAGAAGAAATTTGGTTTGACGTTATTTTGATCCCGTTGTTTGTTATGATTGCATACACGCTCAGAGAAGTTAATCATATGCAAATTTTTCAAAATTTGTCTGTGAAACTCGTTTTGCAATCAGAAATATCCGCTACGATTCTCTTCATCATTATTTATAAAATAAACACAATGAAACGCGTGCGCTGATTCGTGTAGAGCTGTGTTTGCAGTAGGCAGTGCAAAACACATCTTAGCTCAACCAATCAAAATCAAACTAAACAATCAATCAGTCAAAGAGAATTTGCAAATCGATCATGAATAAAAGTTAGAGGAAAAATTAAAATGTTTGTCTTTTTTGCATTATTGTTTTTATAGAAGAAGTTTTTCGTGTTTGCACTGGCTTATACAAACCTCGGAGACGTTTGACAGAACTCTCGAGCATATACAACCTTGACCTTCGGTCTAGGGCTTGCAATGATCTGCTCTCGAGTTCTTCCAAAAGTCTCCTCGGTTTACATAAGCCCGTGCAAACACAGTAAACATCTTTTCAGTAAACATCTTTCAAAGAGCAGGCGAACTTCGATGTTTTTTCTTGTCATTTGTATTTTTTTCAAGCATGGACGAAACGCTGCATGTATATCCAGTATGATATACTGTGTTTCTTTAGCAGGCTGATATTTCCACTTTGGTTTTATGTGTTTCTTCATTTTTTCAAAAGTGAAAACTTTCTCTAGTTTTTAATGTACTCTGTGTAATATCACTAGCTCAATCCGCTTGGGTTTTATTATAAAGTTTGCTAAGTTATACGGAAATGCTAATATCATAATCATTATATGGGATTAAGTCTTCCGTTATATGTATGTTTGAATAAACTCCGGCGTGTTTGGGGCTTTAACTTGTATTTTGTGTTGGCGTTTAAATTGCGAAATGTTGTCATGTGGCTGGGGTAAGAAAGTTTTGCGTCATGTGGTTCGGGTAAGAAAGTTCTGCATCTGTCAGCGGGAATCGGGCATCGCGTTTTAAATATTGTTGTTTGTAGTCTTCATAAAAGCTTGCTGTCGTTGAGAATCATTTGTAATGTATGAGAATAATCAGAATTTCTACCACAAAAAGTGTGATAAAATCTAAAAGTTTTTTTCATGTAGCTAATATCTTCATACCAATTTTAAGTAAGCCGTTCGTTGATTTCCTAATATGGAGTGATAAGCTTTAGACACACCACCAACACCGATTTCTCTATTCATTTTGAAGTTCGTCATTCAACATTTAAATGTAATAAACAGTAATAAAAAAGCGAATGCGGAAGTATGGAATAATCCATAGCTAGTTATTTACTCCTCAATCTCATTATTTATAGACAGCGTATTCAGATCGGTTAAGACGTCGTCCTCCCCCCGGAATGCAGCGAGTTACGGTTACAAACACTCCCAGCTCTTCCTTCCAGAGAAACGAAGAAAATAGGCGATCTGAAAGAAAAAGTTTGTGCAATTATTTCATTTTCCCACAAATTAATGTTTAAGTCAAGTTTAACCTTTATGTTTGATAAAAGAACGTATTACTTTGTAGACTTGACATGAAACTGTTCTTTGCACTTACCTAAATTTATCAAAGTTATCCAACATTTGCCGTGTTTCTCCGTATTTTTGGTAGCAATTGCCGCAGATTGATTTTGCATTTTTTCTTTGGACTTATTTCTATTGTTTATTAGTTGTGCGTATTTTAGCATACAATCAGCAGATCGTTGAGTTCCTTCGTCAAGACAACATACACGACGTTCTCGCCGCTAAAGATCCTGCATATTCGAGCAATGTTACATTGAAGTAAGTAATGCCATGAATCTTGATTAAGACTGACTTTCCCAATTAACTCTTCATATTACGATTATTTGGTCGAATGCTATCCCCTGGGCCTTCCATCTTTGGTCCTTATTCTTGAATTTAGTACAATTTGAAACTGACTTGCTCCATCCCTTTTTTACTTTGTAAAGTCATTACATTGTCCTTGTTTTGACTACCACTGATTGTTTAGTACATATTTTTTTAGTTTTCTTCACATCACAATGTTCAGTCATGCCCATATTTGTTTTGTACTTTGTACATTTACAATGATTTTCATGATTATTTTAGATGCTGTGTGGACAAAATTCGAAGAGATGGCGAACGATCGTTGAGACTTTTATCGGATAATGTGGACCTTATTGTTTTGTTAAGGTGATTAGCGGCATTTTTCTCTTTAGCGGAAATTGTCACTACTGTTTCCTTATAGTAAAAGGTTGACACGTTTTGTTTTTCATGAATGATTTGTTTCAAAAATTGTGAATATAAGCGAATCAAGGAAAGAGTAAGTTATTCAAGTGGACGTTGCTTTTTGTAATTATTTCTTTGTAATGATTTCGTAATGATTTAAATAGGTGAAATTTTATTTTGACTGAAGAAACTAAATTTTCCTAAATAGCAAAGAGTATTTATTTCGTTTTCTTTTCGTGTGCTCTCATGATATTTTGATCCTTTTTTTTTTTCATCAGCAATTTCACGTTTATTTGTCTCATTTTCTGCATGAATTTCTTTTCTCAGTATGTTTGAAGAAGATATTGTTTCATGGTTGCCAGATGGACCCAAAACTCAACCTGCAGCACCCGATAGAAGACGGAACTTTACAAATGGAATTGTCGAGTCCGGTAAGAATTGTTAACCGGTGACTTTACTAGTGACTTTATGAGAATTCAACCTGATGGAAGTCCCTTTAATGCTTAAGCATATTTACTGAATCTTTTTGTTCGTAATTTATATCAATTATTTTGGAACTAGAATAACTATTTTCAGGAACAAGTCCCCGCCAAACCTCGAAGCCAGCTCCTTATAAACGTGACTTCCAAGCTAAAGTCAAATCACTTCATAAGAATATTGCTCACAAAGGACTGGGTCAGGGACAAAACAAAATCTCGTGAGTTTATTTTCCTTGCACATTTTGTTACTGGTATGGTTGCTACATTGGTTACTGCCTGTCATCGCAAATGCCATAATAATTACCATGATCATCACTATGTTTAATAACATAGTTATTACCATGATCATCACTATGTTTAACAACATAGTTATTACCATGATCATTACTATGTTTAATACCATGGTTATTACCATGATCATCACTATGTTTAATAACATAGTTATTACCATGATCATCACTATGTTTAACAACATAGTTATTACCATGATCATTACTATGTTTAATACCATGGTTATTACCATGATCATCACTATGTTTAATAACATAGTTATTACCATGATCATCACTATGTTTAATAACATAGTTATTACCACGATCATAACTATGTTTAATACCATGGTTTTTACAATGATCATCACTATGTTTAATACCATGGTTATTACCATGATCATCACTATGTTTAATAACATAGTTATTACCATGATCATCACTATGTTTAATACCATGGTTATTACCATGATCATCACTATGTTTAATAACATAGTTATTACCATGATCATCACTATGTTTAATAACATAGTTATTACCATGATCATCACTATGTTTAATACCATGGTTATTACCATGATCATCACTATGTTTAATAACATAATTATTACCATGATCATAACTATGTTTAATAACATAGTTATTACCACGATCATCACTATGTTTAATAACATAGTTATTACCATGATCATCACTATGTTTAATACCATGGTTATTACCATGATCATCACTATGTTTAATACCATGGTTATTACCACGATCATCACTATGTTTAATAACATAGTTATTACCACGATCATCACTATGTTTAATACCATGGTTATTACCACGATCATCACTATGTTTAATACCATGGTTATTACCATGATCATCACTATGTTTAATAACATGGTTATTACAATGTTCATCACTATGTTTAATAACATGGTTATTACAATGATCATCACTATGTTTAATACCATGGCTATTACCATGATCATCACTATGCTTAATAACATAGTTATTACCATGATCATCACTATGTTTAATAACATAGTTATTACCATGATCATCACTATGTTTAATAACATAATTATTACCATGATCATCACTATGTTTAATACCATGGTTATTACAATGATCATCACTATGTTTAATACCATGGTTATTACCACGATCATCACTATGTTTAATAACATAGTTATTACCACGATCATCACTATGTTTAATAACATAGTTATTACCACGATCATCACTATGTTTAATAACATAGTTATTACCACGATCATAACTATGTTTAATAACATGGTTATTACAATGATCATCACTATGTTTAATACCATGGCTATTACCAGAAACAGTTGACTTGCTTTTTTTCAAAAATTATAATTTAAAACATAATTTCCGTCTGACTGTTGTTGAATGTTCTTTAAGTTTGGTAATTCGTCGTGAACACATCTTAGAAGATGCCTTTGATCAGCTGATGAGGCAAAGCCCTAAATCTCTTCAAGAAAGCAAGCTGGAAGTATCGTTTTCTGGAGAGGAAGGGTATGAACTTTTTTGTGGTCGTCTATGTTCGAAAATATTTCATGGAAGTCATGTCATCAGGGACATTGACAGCCTTCACTTTTTCGTTCTGCTATCTAAATTTCAAAACAATGATTTGCAAATTATTAATAATTCAATTGTTTTTACACTCACTCAGATCAGAAATCTTGCATACGTAGCACTACTAAATATGCAGGCAGGCCACATCATTAAATCATGGATAAATTCACGTGTGTTTTTTAGGGGTGGTGGTGGGTGTGCGCTCTTGTTTAGATTAGGTTTTGGTGTCCACGTATTTATTGCCGTGACATGTTGACACGTTTTTTGTTAATTTCTTTTACGTTTTTACTATGATTGGGAAATTTTTGGAAAAGTATACCACTAATTACTAATCACAATTTCTTTTTCTCAACTGTTTGGTGTATTGGCATTTTTAGAGATAGTTTCACTCTTCATGCACCCCCCTTAACCAAGACTTGGAGGAGTGTGCACCCCTCTGTTTTTCTCCACTTAATTTCATCTCTACACTAAATGTTCATCCAGTTTCATTCTATGCTGTTCTTACCGAGCCTTTTGTACTACGCATGAGCAGTGTAATCATAAGTTATTCTAGTTGAAGATTTGCTTTTTTTGATTTATCTCAATATCCCTGCACTGTCTTACGTATAAATTCATTTTTTCTTTATTGATAAAGCAAATGATATATTATGGATGGTTTATTTAGACTAGATTACGGTGGACCACAAAGAGAATTTTTCTTTCTCCTATCGCGTCAGTTGTTCAATCCTTATTATGGTTTATTTGAATATTCTGCGCAAGATACGTACACTCTTCACATCAGTTCAATGTCTTCCTTCGTCGATAATGCTCACGAATGGTAATGGCTCTTTTCCTATTAAAGAATAACACATAAACACAAGCGCTAGTTTTTTGGCTGACTTTATGTGCGAGATTTGCGTGATCCCGCGCGTTCATCTTGCACACTCTTCTAGTAAATAAAGTTAATTGTTAAATTGTGTTCAGATGTTTTTATGAGTACTTTGCTTTTTACGTTTTATTTTTGTTTTACTTTGCTGAACACTCCCTCCCCTGAACCTAATTTAAGTAATGTTCATCATACGGCAATTTTGCTATTTTTATTAATTATGGAAAATTCACCAAAAAGTTATTTGAGGGTATAAGAGAAAAAGAAAAAGAAAAAATACCTTTTTTTCAATTAAAATGCTCCAACTATTTTATTAAGACAATAATGGTACGTACACATGACATGTGGCTTGATAAAGCAAAATTGTAATAATTATAATGAAATATGCAACATTATTCAATATTAGCTACACTTTCAAAGTTACGTTAACGTTATTTTAATAGGTATATTCATTTCATGTTAACAAATCCTAAAGCAATGATTGCATTCCTAAACAATAAAACTTCATTTTTCTTTTTTCAAGGTATAGATTCAGTGGACGTATTATTGCTTTGGTCATCATTCATCAGCATTTGCTGGACGCCTTTTTCACGCGACCATTTTACAAACTATTACTAAAAAGGTATGCTATAGATTGTAATGACTTTGTTAACTTGTTGTAGGATAAAATTCTTTTTTCTATCGTAAGTTTTCTCGCTTCTTTTCCCCTCATACCTAGTTTATTTTCAGTATAACCTAGTTTATTCTCACTACATATTACACTTTATTCTTACTGCAACGTAGTTTTTCTCACTTACAGCGTTTCTCACAACAACCTAGTTTTTCTCATTACAACCTAGTTTTTCTCAATGCAACGTAGTTTATTCTCACTACAACGTAGTTTATTCTCATTACAACGTAGTTTATTCTCATTACAACGTAGTTTATTCTCACTACAACGTAGTTTTTTCTCACTATAACGTAGTTTATTCTCATTACAACGTAGTTTATTCTCACTACAACCTAGTTTTTCTCATTACAACGTAGTTTATTCTCACTACAACGTAGTTTATTCTCACTACAACGTAGTTTTTTCTCACTACAACGTAGTTTATTCTCACTACAACGTAGTTTTTTCTCACTATAACCGAGTTCACTACAACCGAGTTCATTATACCACGACTTAGTTTATTTCTCTCATTTTAGCTCTTGTGATTTGCGTGACGTCGAAGCCCTTGACGCGCAATTTCACCAAAGCTTAGCGTGGATAATGGAAACTGAAAGTGATATTTCCCTTCTTGATCTCTCGTTTACAGTCAATGAAGAACTAGGTGGTCAGGTAAGAGTAACCTATATATGTGATATATGTGAAGCATTTGCCTGTTCTACACTTCCATTATTTACAATGTGATTTCGTTTGCTATCTTACGTTACTACAGTCACAAGGTCATGAAATATTTCATCATTCACATACATAATTTATATAAATAAATTAAACATATCCGAAGGAAACCCGCAGTTAAGAAATTGCTTTAACTTGTGTGAATTTACTTAATATATTAATCCTAACACGGTAATTAAATATGCACATGAAAAACATGTGACTTGGACGAGATTTGAACTTGCACCTTCGGGATACTAGACCGCCACTCTACCTGTTGAGCTACCAAGCCCACAGGGATTGGAGACGAGTCAAATCTCTTTTAAACTGCGTATGAACGAGAGATTCTTGCCACCATAGCAGTCTACTGGATGGCACCGTGTTTCGACTTTATTCCAAAGCCATCATCAGAGTATATCCATAATATTGGACTTACAGAAAACGAATTCACACTAGACATAGAAATCACACTGCCTCTTTCCGCCACAAAAACTACGAAACTCGACCAAACTCAGTAAGCACATTTGGACCCTTAAAGACAGCAACATTGACCACGACATCTCATGGAACATCATCACACACAGCAAACCATACAACAGCACTAGTAAAAGATGCAACCTTACCTCAAAGAAAAATTCTTCATCCTCTACCAACCATCCAAATCATCCCTCAATAAACGCAGCCAACTTGTTTCCTCTTGTCGCTATAGATCCAAAACACTCCTATGTAATTTGTAACTATACACCTTAATTAATACGCTAAATTCCGTAATATAACTTGTAACTATACACTTTGATTAATACACTAACTGCCGTCATCTTTTATATATATTTTAAGCATTTAAGTATTTTATTCATTAAATCCCCTGAAGAGTGAGCAATCACGAAACAGGCTTGTCGGGATGATTTTTTCTCAACACCACTACACATATTTACGCTCTGCTCTCGGGCATCGAGCACTGTTTTATACGGAGAATCGTCAAATATAAACTTCCTAATATATATTATGTATATAATCTGATGATGGCTTTGGAATAAAGTCGAAACACGGTGCCATCCAGTAAACTGCTATAGTGGCAAGAATGTCTCGTTCATACGCAGTTTAAAAGAGATTTGACTCGTCTCCAATCCCTGTTGGCTTGGTAGCTCAACAGGTAGAGCGGCAGACTAGTATCCCGAAGGTGCGAGTTCTAATCTCGTCCAAGTCACATGTTTTTCATGTGCATATTTAAATACCGTGTTAGGATTAATATATTATGTTTATACTCTGATGATGGCCGTGTGTGAATTTATTGTAACTTTTTTATCGTGCGTAATTTGTTACGTTACAGTAACTGGTTGTGTCGATATGGATTGTTTCATTTATAATCAAGTAATTGTCCATAACTAGTCACTAGCTAAAAATACTAGGATTTGTTATGGCATATGATTTGCCACTTTGTAGATAACTGAAAGGGAATTACTACCTGGTGGTAAAGATATTAGAGTGACTGAAGATAACAAACTTGGTTATGTTGAATTGATGTCCAACTGGAGGATTGATGGAGGAGTTTCAGAACAAAGAAAGAGTATTTTGAAAGGTTTTTACGAGGTTAGGAAACGTCATAATCACAGTTAATCACTAAATGAATATGACACTTGTAACATTACGTAATGTTATAATGATAAGCCCATTAACATTGGAGCGCTATAAGCGAGATACTTGAATTATGAATGAATTTAGAATTATGAATGAATGAACAGACAAAACTGTCTGCGATAAAATTAATGTGAAGGTTGTCTGATTTCAAAGTTCATAAATGCATGCATAGTTTTGTGAATCTAAGCCCTGTTGATTGTTATGAATTCAAAAACCAAGTAACGTATTATAGAAGAGAAATCACAATGGTCTTTATTAATTTACTCGTGTAAGAACTGGACACGTCAATTTGTTTCATATGATTGACTTGCTTTTGTTAGTTCCAGTAGCATTGCCAAATTGTAAATGTGGTAATCTTGCATTTGTTTTTTCTATGTTATGAATATATTTATTGCATGGCACTTACATGTTTATATTCACTCTAGATTATTGATTATGAATTGGTCTCGATATTTGATGCCTGTGAACTAGAGCTTTTGATATCAGGCACTGCAGATATCGATGTTAATGATTGGTTTTCCAATACCGAGTATCGTTCTGGTAAGTTTTCGATAGCATCAAGCATTTTTTCATGGCCTCTTTTGGAAAACGTGACTCAGCCAAATAAATTAATAGCTAGTTTTTTTACGCTGCTTGTGTTTAATTTTGCAGATTTTCCTTAACTGCATTCTCGCCAAAGATATCCAATTCTCGTTTGATATATTTTTTATACGTTATGAATTCAGCATAGTTTATATTTCTTTATATCAATATTTAGATTTACCTAATTGTTATTCACACCATGTTTGAAACCAAAACCTAAGTTTACTTACGAAACCCGTGTCTTATTGTATAAGTAAATACTATACAGATTTTTGTCTCGCACTCAAATGCGACTTTAAGTTTGTCGTTTTTCCTTTTTTCAGGATATCGTCCAGATCATAAAGTGATCCGATGGTTCTGGCAAGCTGTAAAGAGTTTCGACAATGAGCAAAGATTGAGACTGCTTCAGGTATGGATGTTTTTCCAACGCTCATCTTTATAGTGTCCTGTTCTACCAGAGTAAAAACTTTCTTCTCATTCGTTAAATGGAAATGGAACATTTTGGATACTGAAAGTTTCCGTTACTCATACTTGGGAATTTTTTTAGCATGAGTTGTCATACTTAGCCTTGATGCTCCAGAAATATCTAGTTTGAATAAATAAATGAAATTGATGTATGTGTTGTATTGAAATATCTTGTAGATTTGGGCTATTTTTAATATACTTTTCACCAACTTATTAAATTATTTTACAGAAATATCAAAAATAAAATGTAAAAAGCCGCATATAAAAGCCACTTTTTATAGGTCTTGAAAATCCTTACACATAAATAAGAACAGTTGCACAGCTAACCCGCATATTTGTATATTTCTAAAAAAAGGAATGATGTTAATGTTCTGAAATTTACACAGCATGACTTACGTGTGGGCTGGCTGCGCTACTATGAAAATATGTTGACAAGATTCACAGGCAATTTATAGCTGCGTTTTTACATTTTGAGCTGCTGTATATTCATATGAATATAACATTAATCCTTCTTGTAAAAAATATTGCTTTTACATGACGTACAAGCGACCTTCAGACGTTTGTTAATGCATAACCAACCTGATAATTTTTACCAAAAAATGATTATGCAACAATTGCAATATGCTATTGTTTATCAAATTTAGTTTGTCACTGGTACGTCAAGTGTACCTTACGAAGGTTTCGTTGCACTACGTGGAAGCACCGGATTAAGGAAATTTTGCATTGAAAAGTGGGGCAAACACACCATGCTACCAAGGTTAGATTGTTAGAGATATTAAAAATAACATTTAGTAACAGTCACGTTGCAGATACTTCAAAATAGAATTAAACATGATTTTTTATATTTTGAACGTTGGAACTTTAGCATTAGTAAAGTGTGGCGATGATAAACACCTTGCCCAAAGATATTTTCTTGATTAAAGAATTCCCCCCCCCTGGGACCCACCTCCCTTTTTTGCCTCTGGATTATGTTTTTACCTGACTCAATTGCGACTCTGCTCTTCAGAGCAAATTTTCAATCATACTTTTTGTCGAAAAATAGCTAATTTACCAATCATTAAGCTTGTACGTACCTAATCTTATTGACTTTTTTTTCAGTCTTCAATGAAACTTAGGATAATGAGATTTTTTTATTTCTTTCAGGGCACATACTTGTTTTAATCGTCTCGATTTGCCATCGTATCACAGTTACAACGAACTTTTAGAAAAATTAACTCTTGCTGTTGAGGAAACTAGTACATTTGGAATTCAGTAATCCTTCAAAGGAACTTATTTATAGATGATAGAATTACAATGAGATTCTTAATAGTATGAAAAAGTTAAATGTATTATAGTTTGTTATGTGGGAACAGAAGAAATTGCACGAGTTTTACATATATTTAAGATAATGCTATGCACTGGTTGCCAGAATTCTATGGAAATATGTACTTTTGAGTGACGCTAAGCGAAGAAATTATACCACAAACATCACAAATCTTAAGAGCATGTTTTTCGTCTATCATGTTTGAAAAGGACCAGAGTTACCACACCCAAGCTCTGTCTATGCTACTACGGTGAAAATCAGTGTCCTCGCATGAAAACTTTGAAATTTGTTTTTGAATCTTCCTTACCAATAACACCTTTCCTCAAAAAGATGTTCTTAGACTACGTTTACACTACGCCGGAGCGAAAAAGTGACGACAGAATTTGACCGTGTTTACACTGATCCGTTTGAATTTCACTACAGTTTTCCGGGTGTTTACACATAATGTTTCTTGCTGTCAAAATTCGCTCTTTGTTTGTGAACAATGGCGCCATTTCTTATTTGCGTATTGCTAGATTTTTATATCTTAAGCCATGAAAAACAACGATTTGTAATAATTACAACGGAATCAGTCATTAAAAGCTTTCCAAACCATTAAATGATCACCATTTTCAATCGTGCGCCACAACGCCGGACGAATTAAAGAGAACTGGTACCTAAAGTGTTTTCAAATATTAACGGTTAGCTGTTTACACAGCAGTGCGTAGCGCTCTGTCTTCGTTCGACCACGTTTAGAAAGTTTGTTTGCATCGCTCCGGCTAAAGTGACTTCAAACAATTCCGTTCCGGTGCAGTATAAACGCAATCCGGTTCTGTTACTTTTTTGCACCGTTTTCAGACCGATCCGGATTAGTGTAAACGTAGTCTTAATCTGTTGTTGTCTTTCGTTGGAGGTGTAGAGTGTATAGTATAGACTTTATATGTATATAATTTTATAATATAGCAGAAGATAATATGCTGTAGTTCACTCTAACTGGCTTAGCTAGAATTACTCTCTATAACAATAACAATTATTTTTCCTGGTCTAATTTTTCTAGATAAGTCGAATTCTTATCTTAAAAGGCGAAAGAGCGATTTTCAAAAACTCGCTTTATAAGTCGAAAGTCTAAATTCGATTCAAACATCACGAAATCAACCCCATTTAAATTATTCTCGTGTAACATTGCTTCAACGGTCCATATTGAACAATATGCTTCATGAGCGGTGCAACTTTGAAATTAATGATGTAGCTTACATGAAGTTATATCAAGTCTCCATTATATCAAGCATATATCTATCAAAGTATTTGATAGTAATGGTGAAGTTGCCATAGCTAGAGAATTGACTTATAATATACGAAGATGAACACCAACACACCTGGGTTTTGCTATGGTATTTTGGTTTGTTTTTGTTTTTGTTTTTTTTAGGGGGGGGGGGTGCTTTTGAATGCAACCGTGTCATAACATCTTGTAGACTGTTTACTATGCGAAATTGTGCGTCGTGGTAACACAGATTAGTCCAATCACTCATTAGCAATAAGACGAACTAAACTGAATTCGTTTAAATGCTATTGCTTGCACTCCATTCTCGCTGAGAGACACCTAGCCAACTAAATGACGTACGAAAAAACGATTCATCTCTGAACCACTAGTGTAAGGAAATGTTCTGCATCATATTTGCTTGAATGTTTGAAGAAAAGCTCAAAACATCAAATATCAATTTAATAACCATGAATCAGCGATTATCTGAGCTAACAGTTCGTAAAGACGTTTTGAAAAGCATATGGAGAGGCAAAAATTTAACTTGTTAAGAGCCGTTTATTCCTCAATACAAATACAGTACACTGAGTTCAGTTTTTTAAAATAATAGCATATATTGTCCACTCACATAAGCCATCTTTACTTCTGTGGCCAAGAAAATGACAACACTGGATGCTTCGGAAGCTGTTTTCCCTGAAAACAGAGGCAAGTGCGGGATAATGTATACCTTCAAAAATAATTTTGGTTTCGAAAAAGACTGGTGTCACGGATGAAGTTGCCTGGATTCACAATATTACATGTAATATTTGTTCCCTGCAGTCGCCTGTGTAATTCCATTGTAAAAAACAAGCAAGCTGTTTTCGAATTCTTATAAACTGCCTTGCTGTTGTATTCTCCCGGTTGCAAAAGTTGAATGTCGTTCAGGTTCATATTTATCGTGTTTTTGTGTCTATCATTTGACAACCTCGATGATATAAACAATATTCTTCCTTCCATGTCAAATTATGCCGTCGAATTAAGTAAGTCCAGCAACGTTAGCGTCAACAAAAAGTGACCTAGATAATTTGTTGCAAACGTTTTCTCCACATCATCCTTTGTAAATCTTGGTTCACGTGTGCTGTACTTTTCTAACTAAGCGGCATAATTTATCAACACGTTTAACTTTTTGCTCGACTCCGGAAAGTTTTTTGAAAATTTTACAATCGATTCGAAGCTGATTAAGTCCAAGCTCTTATGAAGAAGTTGAGCATTAGGAACATTTCTTTTGATTGGGTTTATGGCTAATTTTGCTTTCGACTGATTGCGGCAGGCCAAAACAACCTCATACGCCAAGGCAGCCATTTTTTCACATGTTTCGTATCCAAGGCCAGAATTTGCTCCCGTTATAACACAAACTTTTTGGTGCTTCGACATTATGCTTGAAAAAGTTTGGGTGTTTTATTTTATGAGCGCTTGTAAGAACTCTTAATTTTTATTGCTTTTGTGTTAAAATTGTGTCAACGATGTTTCCATAAATCCTGAGGTTTTGTTTTCCGTTGCCGACAATCTTGATGACGTGCAACTAATTCTTTCAAAGATTCTAATCCATTTACTTTGATATTAAGAAATTTCCGGGAATATACATGCGTTAATGTATCTTCACTTTTCTCAGTGGAATAAAAAACAAAAGATTTTGCCGTTAATGCATGCACATGATATTTTGCTTTTATACACTTCCGTCATGATACGTTGAAGTAGAACTCTACTCTACCTCTATTCTTGGATTTCAACCAATCTCCAAGAAATTATCAAACAATGTGGCTCACCCACGACGGATGGTACTAACAACAACATTGATAAAATATTCTTTTGTATTTGACCACCAACATGGCGACCGTAACGCAGCATGCATATGAAGAATTTAAGCCCTAAATATTATTTGGATTTTAGTACCTTTTAAATAGTGGGTTTTATTGATTTTAATTTGTTAAAATTAAAAAGTGTTTTAATTTAAAATGCTGAACCTCCCAGCAGTTGAGGTCTCTGTGACAGAGGCGTGACTAGAACGTAAATTGGGGGTGCATATTCATATGTTCGTTGTGCCCTACTGATTTCTTTTGAAAGTGATTTGAATTTCAAAAGAAATTAGTAGGGCAGTACAACTGAATATATGAATATACACACCCCTCCAATTAACGTTCTACTAGTTGCGCTTCTGTCTCCGTCAACCAATTTTTGTCAACCATGGTCACCTGCCTAAAAGATAAAAAGCGATATATACTTGTATAAACCATAGGAAAATGCAAAATAATTGTGACTATCAAGTCGTCATACAACTTGGGAATAAACAATTTAATGAAATATAACAAATTACAAAATTATTACTTTCAAATTACGTTAAGAACCGTTTGGTTCCACGTACAACATCCAACAACAGCAATTTGTCTTTTACTCAACTAAACAACAACACCCTTTCAAACGTCACTTCCTGCTCCCCATTCCGCCCAAAGCGGCAAATCATACGATAGCCACAATAAGGATCAATGAAAATATAGGTTTTGCAGCTGGCGCTACAGTGAAACCATGAAACAATCAACACAGGCCCTCCACATCAAGTTAACTTGTTTTCCAATGAGTAAGAAGAGAAAAATATTTATCAGGACTGAATTTGCGATCTAGTTACGCCATTGCTTGTGAATAATTACAGACTTCGATCGGTCTACTTCATTTGGCTAATGAAAACGCTTTATTTATTGGTTTAGGCGAGCCCCTCCAATTGAGTATGAACAATCATTAAGTCATCGACCACCTATAGGAAGAGCAGACTAAAATTTCTCAATGAGCTCAATTATATGAGCTTGAATCTCAAGTTTATTGGTTTCAAAACTTTCACCAACTTATCATAAGCTTAACATAATGCGTTCCTATTCCAATTATGACGTATTTTTATATGGGTTTTATGCATTAACTAAATTAGCACAATGCAAAAAAGCTCGCTATTTAATGCATTTTCTCTTTTTTTCAACTGCTATGTTTCAATTATCATAAAGTAAAGTCAACTTAGCTCGTTGTTTCTTAAATTATGTATAAAAAAATGCAGTTAATAACTTAATTAGCTCCCATGGTGAACTACTTCAAAACGTTGAACAAATCACTGATTATTATCTAAGAGCTTCTCTTCCGCTAAACTTTATATTCCAAAGCCAAAAACAGAATTCTTAAAACAAACTTTTTGCGATAACAAAGCAAAATTAATCGTTGGAATCAGTTATCTCACGTGGTAAGAAATATCAATATCGTTATCGTTTGCAACTAGCTTCCTTCTCAAACCATGATTTTACTTTTTAGTTTATTTTACATTTTAGTTCACTTTGATGTATAATCGATGTTACTATATATTTAATTCAATGATATTTCCTCAGTATTTCTTATATGTTTTATTTTTAAATATTTCCTAAAAGAGTTTTTCTATTTGCACTGAAACACACCTCTTTTGTAAACCATCCGTAACAGAAAATCAAAAATTTAGCTTCTATTACACGAAGTATACATCTCTGTCTGAAAAATGCATTTACCCCATAGTCAAACTTTTAGTAAAAAATTGAAGTTCGAGCAAGAGACATTTGAGTTCATAATTTGAAGCTGTTTGGCACGAGATCGGATAAGGTATTGAAAGGTTGGGCATTCAGGATTTTTTAAATTGTCATGTTTGTGCAATACAATAAGAGCATATTTCTTTAATGTCATTCACATAAGTTGAAGTAAAAAATCAAAAGAATAAGATCCAAATTACAAAACGTCTCTATAAAGAAAAATTTGAGAAAAACATAGACGGCAAGATTCAAAGTTTAAGTAATTCATGTCGATGTTGGTACACATTACGTGTGATTTGAAATACTTTAATATTTGTAACTAATACTTCAAATGTTTTTATCCGCCGAAAATGTTTCAAGTATTTTGAATTCAAACAATCGCCATTAGTGCTCGAAGTTGCCATATTTTGAGAAACACTCCAAAATATAGAAAAAATTTAGACAAAATTTAGACAAAATTTAGATCACCAAAATACAACTCAAATACGTGCTACTGTTGCCAATTATAGGTGACCAGACGTTATTGTGAAATAACATTACAACAATTGTGCAAGTGCAGTGCCATTGTCGTCATGAATTTTGAAAACCACGAATTTTGCTTTACACCGGCGTTGCACTTCTCCTCCGCCTCTACTAAGAGTTTCTTCCTGTGTGTTTGGTATTCACTCATTTTTTACATCTGGATATTCTTCGTTGTAGCGTTCCAACAAAATGAAGCTTAAAGTTATTATGTAAAATAGTATAAGAAAGAAATCATGTTGTAATTTGTAGACTGATGTTTTCATATAAAGCTAGTTAACTACCCATAATTTATGTGTAAGAACACCAGCAGGTCAGCCACGTTTGAAATTAGATAGACTTTGATTGTTCTTTATCTTTCAGTCTGGTACCTGCATAAAGCTAGTAACTTTCAATCATAACAATTCATGTCAAATGAATTTATTTTCATCGCAGTTAAAACGTTTCGTGAAATGGATTTCCGACCTTATAACAGAAATGTGTGAACACCGAAGAAAAGTACTGATTGGTTATTTCTAAACAACCGCTATGAAATACGATAAAAACTTTAAAATTGATATATTCTGGCAATTATGAAGATTTTATGTCTCCAGTTAAAACGTTATTGCAATGATCATTCGTGTTCACCGCGTGTATTGCGGAATTGTAATCTTTTTTTCAACGTGGTATATGTGCAGCGTCATTTTTCTGGCTCACGATAGATTAACTTACCATTCTTCAACAACAAAAAATAGACACATTCATAATAAAATGTATGACTTACACGAGCGAGAGTGGACTGCTAATTACGAAAAACTACCGTCATCGTACGTCGGAAATGCACCGGGTGAGTTTGGTGTTCCTGTGAACTTAGATGACAAATATTCTGAAAAGATTCGTTTGGCTTACAAAGAACACGAGCTCAATAAAGTTGCCAGTGATATGATATCATTACATAGAAAGATTCCAGATTTAAGAAGTCAAGCGTAAGTTGATCCCATGAATGCAATCTCGAGGTTTTCTTAAAAGGAGGTTTAGTTTAGTAAGTTTTGGGTAAAGTACCAACAGACTACAGTGCAATGCAATACAATATTTAAAATATAGCTTTTCAAAATTTTTGTCTAGATATTTATGAATATTTTTCTGCAAAACAAACTTTTGCATACAGTTTTTGATTAGATATTTGGTATGTGTCACAGTGTCGGCTTCGTATCTAATCAATTCCCCTCCATGTTATCCAACTTAGATACCTCACTCTAAAAACCCCTCGTCTTAAATACCTCGTCCTTTGAGGCTTCGACACACCACGGTCACCACCACATCACCATTATGATATGATCTATTATTGTCGTGAGTAGATTAGGCTAAGAAAGCTTATATTCAGGCTTAATTTTGTTTTTGTTTGTTCTCATTAAAGTGAAGGATATGATATACAATGCCTCTTTATGTTAAACTACTCGTATCTTTTTAACGCTCAAATTCTAGATTTGCTAGAATTTATTAGTAAAACCTGTCTTTTATTAGATCATTGCCTCTCTCCTCCGCTGAAGCTTTCGCACTGAAACATTTTAAACCACAATATTTAATGTGGAACATGAATTGATTAGCATATTTTTAGCTAGAAAGCCACAGCGGAGGAGAGAGGATTATTCCGGCCGGTATTCACATAATCACCGATAATCAGATCGTTTGATATGATGATTGCATTGTTTTGTCATTTAGGGGCATGGTGTTTGCCATGTGTTTGCTAATGTCTCATAATAGCATCGTGGGCTCAAAACCGGTCGTTTGTACTTTAACACTCATTATTTACAATATTTATGTATCTTGATGAAACAAACTATTTCATAATTGTTTGATTGCAACATATGAAATTTATTGAAATGCTTTCGGATTTATGAAAGACAATTGTGGTTTGTAGGCGTACCACAATCTATAAATAAAGCCTTCCCATGGCTTTTGTATCGAGGCGACGTGTTATGTTTTATGGCATTGTATTTGTTTTTGCATTATGGTTATTGTTAACGGTTGGATTTTTCGTAAATGAAAGGAACAGCGATTCTTATTACGATAATATTGATTTAAACTCAGTTGAACTCGATCGAAAATTGCGTGAAAAAAAGGGCTTTTCCAATTATCAAGGCAATACGGCTCATTATGTGTATGCTAACTATGACAAGACTCCGCATCGCAATCCTAATGAGCCAGGAGAGCTGGGTGTAGCTGTTTACGCTGACTCATGGGAGAAAGAGAAAGAAAATGAAGGCTATACCCAGCATTCTTTCAATCGTCTTGTCAGTGACAAGATCTCCTTGCAGCGCAATCTTAGGATTATAGAAATTCAAAGTAGGTTCATGGTTATGCTTTTGCCCTTATTTATAAAGACTTTGAAATATCATTTTTACCTGAGTTCAACTTGAGCAATAAAAGTGGGTTCATCAAGAAACAGCGATAAATGTGCTGTCTTTGAGCCTATGTAAAACACCTGTCCAGGTCTCTTGAATGCCCACCTGACCAAATACATTATGTGAAAACAAGATACAGCATATTTTCTAAAGGAAATAATATTTTTTGATAGCGTTTTAAGCTTTTATTCTTACCAAACGATTTGCTGAACATTTCTTCCACTTTTTAAAATTTTGATGTCTCAAGAATGTCTTGTTTACTTACCTTTTTTAATTTTAGACTTGTCTCAAATCTCTACAAGATAGCTAAAGATAGATATTTACATTCACATACTCATATATTATAATTTGTAATCACTATTGTGTCCAATTTTAACCAATAAAGTAGAACATGCAAATATGATTGTTAGTCATCCAATTATCAATTTGTCACCATCCCTGTAAGATATAGCTTTACAACTAAAGCATCTGACTTTCATAATCCAAAGATGCAAACTATGTCACATGTTATTTATGTAACAGAGTTAGTCATAATTATTGTGTTCTGACTTTTTGATCAATGATGGTTTTGAAATATCATCTAAACATTAGATGCATGTGAAATTTTTGACTAGTTTAAGTAATGATTAAATTAATGACATGATTTGATGCTTATTGATTACAAATGGTTATAATGAAGAGTATACTGTATGTACATAAAGTCAACAAAAGACATGATATTTGTAACTTACTACAGCATTTCCCATGACAATTGCCAAATGCCAAGGAATTTTGGGAGCAATAACTTCACTTCATTGTTAAATTTTCAAGCATCCATACTTATACATACATAGTTGTCAAATATACGATTGTATCTTCCATATTAGAATACATCAATCAATGAACAATACCCAACTGATATAAGTTTTGCCTATCTTTTTTAGATGTCGATGGAAGAAATACCCACTGCATCTTCCCAAGACAAGTGTAATTATTTGTTTTCACAATGAAGCCTGGTCCACATTACTAAGGACTGTTCACAGCGTGATTAATCGATCTCCTCCCCATTTGTTGGAAGAAATCATCTTAGTTGATGATGCAAGTTCAAGAGGTGAGTAGGTTTCAAAATTTAAAGTTACTATGCTGACAGTTAGAATATTTCTTTATCTCTACTGCATGGAACAATCTACTTTGACTGCAGGATGTATAATTTATACAAAATATGATGTTCAGTTGATTGAGAATGCTTTATTTACTAGACATAAGCTGTTTTTTTGACTCCAGCCATTTATTTTACAAATAGAAATGCATTTTCTATGTATTCGTGTTTCCATCTCCAACTCCATGAGAAATTAACTTTTAAAATTTAGGGAATAAGTTTGAGTGAAATTTTATATTTGATATGCACCATGTTGTAAATTTTATTATTTTTTATTCATGTATACCATACAAATCAGTAGCAGAGATGGTAAGGAAGGGGGTCTGCAGACCCTAACCCAATAATTTTGCATCGGTTTTCAATTTTTAGAATTTGTTCCCAGATCCCTTGCTTGAAACCAAATATTAAAAGTTTGTGGCAGTCCATAGCCTCTCATCAAAAATACGCCTTTCTTGCTCCAGCGTTTGTTCAGATGTGTCAATATTACCACTTATTTTTAGTCCCAGAATGTTACAATGCCTACCCAAATGACGACCTAAAAAGTCAAACCAGATAGACAGTTCGTCTTAAACATACATTGAGTAAAAACATACTATGAATTGCAAAATAACGCAAAAATTTTACTGTGCTTTCGCTAATGCACAATAGCGAAATAATGAATAGTAACAATAGGTAAGGTGTCCCAACGCAGTTTTACAACGAAAGGTCTTATTTAAAGAACTGTGTTCTTTTTTGTCCTTCACTGATCCATAGAGGTCATATAGGACGATCAATCAATTCTATCATCAATTCACTGAAAACTAGAAATGAGAGAGGGTGTCCTTCCTGTTCTACAACATTTCTTTTAGTACCTGCATGAAGCCTTAAACACGGGAGGTGAACTGATTGACGTCTTACAATGGGACGAATATGTAGTTGAACTGCTGGTTTCAAATTTAGGCGTGAGGCCATCCATTACAGTTGATCATATTACACAATAAAAATGTGACCAACTGGATAAAAGTTAGTAAATACGTAAAGGCAAAATCTTGCTAAATATATCATTTTCCTTGCCAAAAGGATTTCAAAAAATAGCCAATTCCGCGAAAGGGGCATTGAAAATTGATTGGATGATAAATAAACTTTAACAGAAAAGGAATGTGATATTTTCTACTACGAAGAATTTTTGCCATGTATGTATACTGGTTACATGTAACAGTGGCGGATCTACTAATCGTAAAAATATATAACTGCAGCTTATTCTGGGATATAATTTATTTTGCAAATAGCTTCTACCAACTTTAATTAGTAAATTTCATTCTTTGAAATTAATAACCAATAATGTTGTCCTAGCTGAAGGTTAATTTTGAATTTCAAATTAAACAGCCACGATTTCTTTTAACGAACGAGGGATCGTCCACTTTCTCCATGTGAAGATTGCTCGCCATTTTGCAGCACCATTCATAAGTTTGGAAAAGAGAGCTTTTGTGATCCTTCTATTTCCCAATTAAAAATCCGCATGTTTTAACCAATAATTTTTTCTCGTCAATAAAATATTGGAATTGTTAAGGGTTAGCCGAGATGTAAGGGTCTGGGTCGAGTCATTACGTATTCAAAAAGAAAGAATTTCAATAACGATTGAGAAATATTAAATTATAAAGCATTGTATTCAATAACTGCATTGGTTACATCGTTCAGATAGACTGTCTCAACCATATACCAAACTATTTGATTTGCTTATTATTTTAGATGAAGTGAAAGACAAGTTAGATTCATATGTAAAAACTCTGGAAACTAAAGTAAACATCATTCGACTAAAACAACGTGAAGGTTTAATCAGAGCCAGGTTGGCAGGGGCTGCTGCTGCAAAGGCCGAAGTCTTGACATTTCTTGATGCTCATTGTGAATGCAGTATTGGCTGGCTTGAGCCTTTACTTTCTCGTATTGCAGAAAAAGAGTCTAATGTTGTAATGCCAGTCATTGATGCAATTGGTGACAAAGATTTTAGATACAATGGTGTAGGTGAGCCTTTTCAACGTGGAATTTTTCGTTGGAGGCTTGAATTTGGATGGAAACCGGTACCAGATTATGAAATGCAACGAAGGAAAGATGAAACGGATGGTATAAGGTACGAATATAGTTGTTGAACGGATTAAATTTCATCTCTACCATCATGCATTGCGAAGCTGTACATTTATTCAGTTTAATGAATTTGTGTGCGCTCAAAAAATACCAGCGTTTATTGCGCCAGTTATTGCATTGATCTCAGTTTCTCTTGACTATTTTTTAATTAATTCCTACTTTATTGCATGTGCGTACTTGTAATACTCTCTGTATAATCATTTGTCAGACTAGCTATATAATGTTCTAAGAAAGACAACAAAATAATCATTCATGTAGAATTTGCCTCTAGTAAATTACCAACTTTAAACATACGGGAGACAGAACCAAAGCTGGTCGAGAATTATCTGTAAGATATGGTCTCATTGTTTTAACTTTATTTCAGATCTCATTTACTGGATTAATATTACGTAAAAAGCTATTATATTATCGTTTTACATAAATATGTTTGAACTCATCTTGGTTTTGTTAGAAAATACGGGTTTGTCGGAATAAATTTAATCTCCTGTTTATACGTTTTTTTATATTTTGCTTACAACTTCAACGAACGTTGTGAATACCAGGTGGAAATCATATAAGATTGGAATCAATGCTTCTTAAAGTGTTCTAATTTCTTGATTTGTTTTTAAATTTAATGATCTTGTTTTTAGAACTCCTGTTATGGCTGGTGGTTTGTTTTCAATAAGTAAACAGTATTTTGAAGATATGGGCTCATATGATACTGGAATGGATGTCTGGGGAGGCGAAAACTTGGAAATTTCATTTAGGGTGAATAACATTTACGAGATATTTTCATGGACAGAATTTGTAAAATGTATAATCTCTCTCAAAGCAGTCATTGAAGCAGTCAAAGTGTAAATAAATAATGAGTGAATACCTACTCTATCGGCTTTCGGTGCTTTCAGCAATTCTGGATCTTTGAACTTGATACAAGGTCTATGTCTAAATTATAATGTAAGGTGCCTTACATGCATTGCCTGACCCATATAGTAACGTTACTTTTAATGAAATGTGCATTCATCTCATGTGCACCTCCGTCATGTGACGTTTCTCAAAAGACTTCTCATTTTTTTAGATATGGATGTGTGGTGGCATCATCGAAATGTTGCCGTGTTCACGTGTTGGACACGTGTTTCGTCCAAAATTTCCTTATTCGTTTCCCGTTCGTCCGGGCTCTAGTATTGATCCTGTTAGCAAAAATTTAATGCGAGTAGCGGATGTGTGGATGGATGAATACAGTAAGCATTTCTATAACATAAGACACGATCTCAAGTCGAAGCAACACGACGACGTTAGCGAACGAGTGAAGCTTCGCCAAAGGCTGAAGTGTAAAATTTCAAGTGGTACCTTGAAAATGTTTATAAAGAATTGGCAATTCCCGATGCCAATTTTCTATTCTCCGGAGAGGCAAGTTGTGTCTGATTGTGCATATGCAAAGTTTTCTTTGTTTTGCTTCTATAAATATTTCTTAATTTTGTGAATGATATAGGTTCGTAATCCACAAAGTAGCATGTGTTTTGACACTCTTGGTAAACATGATGGTAACCCTCTTGGATTGTATGTATGTCATGGGCAAGGAGGGAATCAGGTAATGTTTTAATTAAAAACTTTGTTCCCTATGTCATTTCTCTTCTTTCCACTTTTTCTACTCCTTCTGTCCCTACTTATCTATACTCTTCAATTTCATTTGTGCATCTCAAATAAAAAGTTTTACTTATCCTCTTTCCCATTATTTCCCTGACCTAATTAACCCCTTCTATTCTGCTTCTCTTTTAAATCTCCCATTTTCACAATCTTCCAGATTGCATGGTGAAAGTAACAATGGCAGAATTTTGGGGCTGCTATATCTTCAAATTTTGTTTTATATTTTCACTATAGTACTTCACATTAAACAGCAAGGGAGAAATAAAAACGGAAGACAATTGTTTGGATTACAATGGCTACGACTTATATCTAAGGGAATGTGATGGTTTGGAAGCGAATCAAAAATGGGAATACAAGGTATATTTGCCTGCATTTTGTCGTTAAAGTTTTTTTTTCTTAATCGAAACATGTTGTTAACAAACTCATGTACAATTCATGTGATATTTTTTTAAAATTGGCATTGCCGAAAATTAGCAAAATGATTCAATGTTTGTAAAGTTCTACATAGTTTTTAAAATTTTAATACGATGAATGTTTCCCTGTCTGTAACTTATGTGGGAAACGGGCTTAGTCAAAGAACTTCAAAAATAAAGCACGATATGGATAATCATTGAAGTAGTCACGTATAAAAAATGGATATATCTTTCAAAATTGGCTGGGAAATTTGTAACACTGTCAAGTAAAATTTACAGGAGAAAAAGTTTAACATACACATTGAAAAGCTGAAACTCTAAATTTGTACTTGAGCAAAAAATTGTTCAGTCCTGTGAACAATTTAGCAATTTACGTACGTAATGGCGAAGCCAGTCTGGAAAGTCAATCTTGCTTATGTGAATATTTTGGTGTTCATTCACTCTAAAAACATAGCAAGACTACGTACGTATATGAGCAGGACGAAACTTGCGAACTGTCTACGCCAATGTGTGAAGGGCATGATGTGTTTATGAATGTGATATCATCATTTTTACTTATGACTTCTTATAATGTTTAATTTGTTTTTATACGTAGGATTTGAAGATTCGACATATTCGCCGTAATGTTTGTCTTGATCGTGGGAACAGTAAGGCGACACACATCAAAGTTGTGCCGTGCGCAGATAGTAACTCTCAAATATGGCAATTTGGACAGGCTAGTTGATATAAATAAAATCCTGTGTCGTTCATTGTGAAGTGCATCACCAAATTGTGGAGATAGTGCAAAATGTTCTTTTTCTTTCGTTAACGTCGAACGTTGATATGCAACTTGCATGACACCAGAAGGGCTGTATTAGTTATGATCTGAATTAAGTAATTGAACTAATTTGGTTAGCTAGCGGCATAAAATGGAAATAACTGTCTAGAATTTACTATTTTATATTTTACATGTTTTCGCCTATCTCTATTCACATGACATTAACTAATCTAGATCAAGGTGAATCTCCACTTGAATATTTCTGTTTCACCTTTTCTGGCTAACAAAAATTAACATTAATGAATATTTCCTTATATGGTAATATTTTCATAGAATTCTGCAAGTACGTAAGTACGAAGCTTTTATGGGAATGTGAAACCATCCATTGCATCCATACATGCGCACTGTTTCATTTTCCATCTCTTTTAACTGCATTATATTGTAATTGTAACTAAACTCTGACTTTGTTAAATTCATACAATTTCTCTCCAAGGTGTGCAATTCTAACTTATAAGAGTAAATTTTTAGAAAGAGCATGTGAATTTGACTGCATGCCGAACATATTTTGCTTTTACAATGATGCGATGAACCAAAGTAGTGGAGGGGATGACATTTTCGATAAAACGTCATTTTCAGCATTTTTGTCGATGTTTATTTAAAAGCCTTCAAACAACTAAGAGGACAGAATGATGCTGTCAAAAAAGTTATCTCGTAACATGCGAACAGAATCAAAATGGTTGAACATGAGTTCATGTCGTGCGAATAGATCTCTATACGTGACTGTAAGTAATGATGTGATCATTATTTTCAGCTCCATTATTACTGGCACATACCATGTCAGGCTATTTTGAATCATTCTTTATAGTAATTTATACTAATTTCATATTACTTCACATAAGATGAAATTTTATCTTCAGAGATTTCTTCGCTTGCATAGTTGTATTTCTACCTTCCGCGAGTAATGTTGAATTGAACCTCAGTAACCTTGAAAGTAATAAGTAAATTACTTCTTCACATGCAATTTGTTGTTGCTAATTTTATGTTTTTCTCAGAAAAGTAATTTGTTCTTGAATTATTTACTTTATATAAAAAGTAAATGTAATTTTTGAGCTTACTATATTTTTCGTGTCATGTTTACAACACCGGTTAAATTACTGGCAAACTTGCCGTTCTGAACAGACAGTGCAAATTTCTTTTGCATTATTGTTCCACGAGTGACTTGATCAATTTAGTTCAACCAAAATAAAATACAATCAATGCAAAAGAAAAAAATAGGGGGTGGGAAGCACATTTAAGTTGGGAGTTAAATTTCTCGGGAACTTTCCTGGTGAAAAGGACATTTAAGGCTGACACGTATTTTTTTAATGTTAAAAATGTCTTACCGTGCTAATGACCAAGGAAATAATGATTACAGTTCTTTGTCCTTAAAATTTTGAAAAAGACTTGATCTGCGTTCTTTTGCAACTGTTTAATTGCAAATCGAATCTCGTTAGTTTGTGTAAATCGAGCAAATATTTTTTGTCCGTAGTGCTTTTCAGTGATGGTGATCATTATGTGAAATAATTTTTGAGAAACCTTTCCATTAAAAAAGATCTTTTAGCTGATGCAGTAGGTAATCAAAGCATTTAGTATATAAGTAACACAGAAAGAAACTATAAGAAAGCAAATGAATGCATTTCAAGTTTAACAGTAGCGAAGTCAAATCATCATATATCTCTTCGTTTAAATATAATTGTGGCATTTTTGCTGCCATCGCTACTTTCGCCATGCATAGATTCGCTTGTCATAGCTTTATTTTCATAAATTTAGTAAAACTGATTTGACCCTTTGTGTATTTGTCTTATTCTTTAAGGCATAAGCTGTCGTTTTCCGGTTGCTTTTGCTTGACAGGACAAGGTATTGGTCTTTTGCATTTGTTTGTACTTCCTCTCGTCCATTTCCTGGGAAGTACTGGTGAAAAGGATTCTGACTGAATTATGTCTTACTGTGTGTTGATTAGTCGTTTTTTGTCTTTTCAATTATACTGGAAGAGAAACCTACAGGAAAGTTGATAACACGATGGTACTACCTCATGTTAGTGTTACATATTAAATTCTCTTAAGTCGTCGTTATTGTTAAATTACTCAAACTGACAAACAGTAACATAATTTTAGCGGTAAGTGCAAGTTTGCCAAATATTTTATGTTTTACTTAGTTGAATAAAGTTTCTTCGTTGGCGAAGAAAGACAAACTTGATTAGGGCACTTTTCACTGCATACTGCTATGAAGCTATGAAAAACCTTTTTACAATGAAGAAACACTTTACCTCAAAAAAGGGCACTTTTTTGAATGACTTTTTAGGGCCTTGATCCCCTTGGACCCTCCGGTTCCTACATGCCTGGAAAGAAATGAAAGAATTGCGTTGTATGAGATTATTCAACTTGTCTTAGAGATTTTTCTGTGGAGATTATTATTTTCATGGCAAGATTTAATGAAAGCGTGTTGTTTGTGCAAGTAAGACATTTAGGAGCAGACATTGAAATAGTTTTGTTTCTTCAGTTTTTCATGTTTTCAAAGGAGTATGGAAAACGGAGCTAGTAGATGATGTGTTAAATAAAGTCAATATGTTCATTAGTTTTCAAATTTCAAGGTGCTGTCATATATGACGAAGTTAATGCGATCTATGGCTGAGTAAGTTTTGTCACATACCCTATGTTTTATTGACAACGGCTTCTTCTGTATTTTGTCTCTCTCATTATTTTATACTTCTGGTAACATCAAGTATTGCCATGTACTTGTTTCCATGACTATCTTTGTGCCAATGATTATTGTATGGAATTTTGTACGCTCTTGCAAAGAACAACTTTTTTCGTTAGTTTAGAGCGACTATGAGTACTTACTTTCTTTAAATTATGGCTGATATACTATGGGAAGATCGTGATGTACGTTTTGACATTACACTACAGTAAGTATATTTTTTGTAATATGATATAAAGCTACTTTAATATTAAGTGAACACTGCTTTTGGATCCATTTCTTTCATTCCATTTCTTATATTCTATTTTCTCTTATAACCTCTTGTATAAGGACATCTATCGTTAGCGATCATTGAGTCGTTGTCCCTGGGGTGTCGTCTTACGGTTTATATGCCACGAAAACCAATTAAACCACCGCAGAAATCTCTTGGATTTCTATTTATTTCTTGAAAATTGCACTTTTCAAAGTTATATTTGATATATCAAGAGAAAATATGCAAGTCTTTGTTTGCATGAAAACTACAGAAGTTTTGAAAATTGTAATCTGAAATTCTTAAGTATTGATGAGTTTTCCTGCCAATAACATAATTCAATGTTCTATACTGTACTTATAAAATTTTGTGTTTGACATTAATCTTGTTCATTAATTCCTCAGTGACAACCTTATATTATCAATTTTACTTATCTAGACAAATGAGAATGAGAAATGGAGAGGTATTACTTACTTTATGTAGTGATTCTTTGAGATCAGGAATAATTCAGTGGGGTAGAGGTTGCTATATTGGAAATAAAGATGCAATCCACCAGTTTGTGAAATGCATGTCTTTCAGCACATTTACAAGTGGGTGATGTTGATATCTTGATAAACTCCTGTGTAGTGCATTCTAAGTACAGTTTAAACAAGTTAACTTCCAATCATTTTAATATTATTCTTAATTGTATTTTATATTTCAATTAGTTTGAACAGTATGTACCCATATTTGTCGTGTCACTAAGTCTATTTGCATAGTCTGAGTTTCTTTGCTATTCCTTATAGATTCAAATTGATAAGTTGGATTCAGTTGAAGATACAAAAGGCAATAATGGTGACAGAGGTACTATAGCGAAACAGTCTGTTAGAATTCTATCTTCTTATTGTTATGCACCCAATACTCGTTATCTTTTTTTAAAAAATTCTTAATTTAGATACGTAGGCATGTTTTTGTGTGCAGAATAAATTACCAGAAAACAAAAAAAACACCATTCATTCTAAAATATGTTTTTGAAAATTTATCCATTAATTGATATTTATTTTATGAAAGTATTTCACATCTTCTAACTTTTAGCGAAAATTTACTCTTTTGGTTCATCCCAAAACTTTCAAGGCTTAGATAGAATGGGAGTATTTTTGTCAGTATTTGAGCTCAAGGAAACTATGTTTCTATAAGATATCCTAATTTAGGCTACTTACTGCTGAAATTCCTGTTAATGCACTTAGGAAATTCCTGTTAATCTAGTTAGGAAAAAAACACTTTCAGCAATGAATAACTTTTGTTTTTATTGCAATATCATTATTCTTTAACATCAGGTAGATTGATTGTCACAAATCTTCGAATAATATGGCATTCTCAGACCATGCAACGTGTCAACCTCTGTGAGTATGTAGTGCTAATTATTAACTCTGACATGTAAAACATATGCATACATAAGTAGAGGCTGTGACTGGGGTACAAGCAAAATCAAGTATGAATGGACCTGCTTTGTGTAAGAGGGAAAACTGTAACTAATGGTTGCACTGCCTTCTTTTTTTTCAGCTGTTGGATTTGGATGTATCCTCAACCTTTCCACTAGAGTTGCGAGTTCTGTAAGTTTTTCTCCTTTGCATTGGCAGAAGCATTTTGTTGTATTTTATACAAACATGTTGAATTTATTTGATGAACTGTTTTTTATATTACTATTGAGCATTTTGTAATCTGTGTTTGCGCTTGGATTGACATGGACTTCCCTTTGGCATCACCAGATGTCATAGGAGACAAATTGTACTATTTAAATCACTTCAAGCCAAAGACTTGCAGGTTGTTTGAAACTGCACAACTTTGTAGACCACCTGACTTACTGCATCACTAGCAATGTACGTACGAAATAGAATTCTGACGTGACTCGCTTATTAAGTCTGACTAAGTCTCACAACATAATATGACTACTAAGTTCACCACTAACATTGACCCATCTTCTTAAAGGTTTTTGGTCTTTAATAGAAAAAAGGTTTCAGTTTCATTCTCTAAAACGAAATAAATATAATGCAAAAACACCATTGTGATGTTACTACACTTTCTTCACCTTACAAACATTCACTTTCTTCAGGTAACATGTTTTCACATGCAAGCAAACATTGTCTTATCATTATTTTTAGAAACTTCGTGGTAAGACAGAATCTTTATATGTTCTTACTCGATGTAATCACACAAGATTTGAATTTATTTTTACAAACTTGGTAAGAAATTGACATGTTGTACCTGGTATCGGTTTCAATGTTCAAAACTTGTTCGCCAATTGTACATATCTTTCCTGTTTTTAAGTCATTTTACCTGTAATTAGCAAGTCTTCGATCATTCTCACTAAGAATTTTAGTTTTTTTTTCCCAAAATAAGACAAATGTTATAAATTTTGTTATTATATAGGGTTTTTGGTGATTTTCATCTCGGCTACCCTTCTTCTTTACATATATATTGTGTATTTTCAGTTATCGAACTGCTTTACCGTTGTTGGGCTGATCATATAGTTGAAAAACTCAATTATTCCTACTTCTGATTGTTTTTTATTCGTTTTTGTTAACAATAGGTTTCTGGCAGTCCAAGATTATTTTCAACTGTAATGTCTGTTTATAGGTTTGTAATTGTTTGTTTTGTAAGAAACAAATTCCTAAGAAACAAGACATC